CCTGCGTCTATGAACAAGGGAAGGGGCACGTTAACACACAACGCAGACTTCAGTCATCCGCCTGAATGGGAGTCGAACCCGGGATCTTTGGTTCGACAGGCAGACGCTTTACCGACTGAGCTAACTCGCCTCCTTCTCTCCTTCTCTCCTTCTCTCCTCCTAACTCTCTCTCTCTCTCTCTCTCTCTCTCTCTCTTTCTTCTTCTCACTATATCATTTTCTCTATCCTCCTCTTTCTCTCCCCCTCTTCCAGCTCTCTGTCATATTTCATACACCAGGCATACATAACAAATTATACATATCTCATTCAATACACAAAATCAGAATAAGCCATAAACCTTTCATCCATTTTCAGACTTTGGTGGTTTTATTCAACTCTATATATTATGAGAGAAACGATAAGGCATGCAAGTTTCATGCAATACAATAAATTAAATTTCAACTTCAAAATTTAACATTGCACTTTTACTGAGAAAAAATTCAGTAAGAACTTTGAGCGAAATTGCTTCAAAAGAACAGGTAAAACATTAAATGATGGTGATGGTAATTTTCAGATGGAAAATTATGTGAACACCTCCCCCCCCCCCCCCCCCCCCCGCCCCTCAACAACTTAAAAAAAAAAAAAAAAAAGTAAAAAAAGAAAATGGTGAGGTTACATGATCTCAACTCAGTTATGTAAAATAATAATAACAATTTTTAAAATACAATTTTTACTCATTTTATATAAGCATACATGCTGAACAAAAGTTTCTAATGACAACTCAAAAGCATGCTAGCTGCTTGCCAGATATAGCATAATAACGATAATGTATGCAAAAGTGAATTCCATCTATATAGATACCATTGTGAGTATGAATTACACATAAAGTAACCAGGGGTTCTGGAGATAAAGTGAATAAATTGAGAAACATATGTAAACAGGTCTAAATGTTTTCAGATTATTCTGCATTGTTTGTAAGCCACCACAAATCATAAATAAACAATAACAATGTATACATTCCTAGCATATTCCTTATTGCATTTTAGCATGATCTAGGGATACCAGTTGCTTTCACGCAATAAGCCTGAACATAGGCCATGTTAGTTGCTTTCACCCAATAAGCCTGAACATAGGCCATGTTAGTTGCTTTCACCCAATAAGCCTGAACATAGGCCATGTTAGTGGCTTATATGTGATGTACAGTACACCTGAACTAATTTGAACCAAAATGTTCAAGATTCTCTTAATTTCAATTTGAAGCAAACTAACAATCAGTACAAAACATATCTGCCTACCTGTAGATAATTGCATAATAAATAAATAATTGATAGGCAAGAGTAAACTTCTGCATATAAAGTAATATATTAAGTGTGAGTAAATTTGTTAGATCAATTAAATATTCAAGAAAATTTAGAGGGTGTTTTCAAAGAGCCCTGATGCTTGATAAGAAAAACTGTTGTAAAATATAAGAGACCCTGCTCAAAGGTCATCTGTTTCTGGGAAGAAAAAATATATACATGCATTCAACTTATGTGCATTGTATTTTATAAGAAATAGTACAAAAATTAAACACAAACTTAAAATGACAGGTGTAGCGTACAATTTTTTTCTTGAGCACATGCATGCAATAGACATGCATTTAGAAGATATTCAGCGGTTTTATGAAGTGCCACAAATCTTGTGGACAAACTAATCCTCAGTTCAGTATTTCAATTCCAACAAATGACCCCACATGGGTATTCAGAACAATGATTCAAAGACCTTTGCTCTCAAGTTCTAATTCTTTGGTCAATTACAAAAAATATTAACCCAAAGAGAAAAAGCTCAAAGTAATTAATTATAACAATTACTCTTTAAGTTTTACAGTACAAAAAAATAAAACATGTACATTATCAATCTTACATAACACATGCATGAATGTAACTGTTTCCTATTTAATATGAAAATAATTTTCTCATCATCTTCACATAAATCCAAACAAAAATTTGGAGAAATTACATAACAAAAATGTAAGTAACTCTGTGCAGAGAAGAATGGGAAGCAAACAATACAAATAAATTAACAATTTTGTTGTAACCTTCAATGCAAGTTATAAGTTTTGATGCAAGGTCGTTCTTTTAAAGTACATAGTATTCCGTTCTTGTATAGCGCGTATTACATTATACCGTCTCTCTGCGCTTCCAAGCTCTGGCAGCCATTATCAGCGCGCAGTGCATTTCAAGGAATAATCCTACCAGGTACCCATTTACATCACCTGGGTCGAGTGTGGCAAATGTAGATTAATGTCTTGCCAATAGACATTAGTGCTGCAGCGAGACTCGAACCGTGAACCTTGTGATCCACAGTCCGGTGACGTATCCACTAGACCAAGACATTGACAGAATTGCACAATCATAGGAACACTTATCAACACATACGGCAATGACATTTCCTGAAACTTTGATTGACTTAGAAAAGCAGTTTTGAGCAGTTTTGAGCAAAGATCATTTTCACGTGGAATGTAATAAAAAAGAAAGCACTCTATAAGTCTTCATAATTCATATTACAATCATGCTTCGTAATTAACATGCACATATCATGATTAAGTAGCAGAATTCTAATGATAAAATATTCATGTATATATCCATGTACACTGAAGAGTAGAATCAATATTACATATGTATAATTTCATCTACATAATTAAATAGAAAGAGAGTATATTACCATGTGATATCTACAATTCAATTTCCTAAATGGAACAATGAAGAGATGTCATTCTACATTTGAAAAATTGATGCTTATCCAATTGTTTAGTATCATGATAAACGATTATAGAAGGTATAAAGATTTAATCTTTTAAGAAAACGACATCTTCAAAAATTCTTAAGTTAATTCTGTAGGTTGATATTTATTAGATAATGACAATTTAATTGAACATCCATTCCATTTTGTGGTTATATTTTCCTTTAGTGCTGTGCGCTTCATGTATAACCCCTTGGGAAAATATAACTTCCTTCTGCGGTCAAAAATGTTATATTACACACCTTAACATTCAATATCTGTATATTATTATTGAAGATAAACTTGAGTTCTGATAAATATAGAAGAGAAATTCTCACAGAATCCAACAAAACTTACACTGAATGTTCAAGATTAAAAACAAATAACATGTGCCTAGCAATTTTGGTAGAAAATGTATATGGGCTGAGTAATGAGCATAGAAAGATAAGGAAATATGAGTAAGTAGCCTGACACCGTGTAATTGTGATTATTTGTGGATGCAGTCTTATTGTTTTCTTTATTCTTACCTCCCCACATAGGAAATCTCACAAACTAAATATGTTGAACATCATGAAACGCAGATGCTCTCCAAATGATATATATATGGCACATATACAAAATAAAACACTCTTTTATGTTACACGACACTTCAGAATTATAAGGCTTTATACAAGTTAACTGTACATGTATGTACATGTATGTTCATGTATGTACAAGTCATGTAGAGATCAAGTGCTTACTGAAATAAGAGAGGAACACTATAGCTAATTTGTCTACGATCCTGGACATAATTGTAGGTAGTCATCATCAGACAGGAATTCTATCTGAATAGGACAATCTGGAATCTTGGCCCGAACGAGTCGGAGAGAGCTAGCTCTGGGCCCTGAAACAAACCTCGCATTACACCTTGTGGCCCAAACCTACAACATGCAATGTATGCTACTACTAGGTCGAGCGTATATACTCGCACTGATTTGACAAGCTTTATCCATTCAGTTCTATTCCCCATGATCTTTGGGAGCTCCTGCCTTGGTAGGCAGGTGTCCTTTTCTAACTGGTCAATGTAAGTCATTGCTGGGCGCCCTCTGGTGCGTTTGACCCTTGAGGGCTCCCAGAAGAGCATTTGTGAAATGATTTCACCCTTGCTCCTCCAGCAATGGCCACTGAAACGGAGGCGGCGGTCTCTCAGTCTGGCTGAGATCGTTGTAATGTCCCTATACAATTCTATATTTGTCATACGGTCCCTCCAGTTGACACTTAGTGCTGCTCTCAAGAGTCTTGTATAGCACCCATCCCGTTGTTTTCCAGGCTATTCGTCAATGTCCAGGCTTCTGATCCATTACCTTGTAACAGTGGCCATATCAGCCATGGGCTGCATGTCATGTTCTTTGTCTTATTCAACACCTAATCTCTGAAGCTACAACCTACCGCCAGGTTTCGAAACATCGTCTATCCATGTTTTCCTTTCCCACATGTACATGTATTTACCAGGAAAAATGTATATTGCACTCCATTTTTATTTGTCCTCTCCTGGCAAATCAATATTTCATTTAGTTTTTTACATTTTTTCTGAAATCACAGCAAGAGATTCTTTCTTGCACTGGCAGCAGTAGAAAAAGTAGATTTTAAACAAAAATTGTAAATTGAATTTTTGAAGTAAACAATTTGTCAGCCATTACAAACCCAACCTATCTAAATGTCTGACACACTATACAGCTATCCAAGCTTGACAATAGCCTAGTATCAAACTGCAAAATACTAGCTACAAATGCAATATCATACTAGTAGCAATGTTTATGATCAGAATATGTAGTCTACTCTGACTTTTTATGAGTCAGGAAGAGAAAGTAACAATGCTCACCACAACATTGGGTAAGTCTGTCCACTTTCCAACAACATTTGGAGACAGGATTACATTTATGATCCAGATGACATCATGAAGAGGTTCTTATCTCAGGTTTTCATCCTATATTGCTTCAATACTTAATTTTTTAATTGTTTGGCAATACAAACAAAATTTCAAAATTGTACTTTACCTGTAATTACGTAAAAATTTAATTAAATTTAATTCTCACTCAAGTTTGTTACTTCCTGATACAATTCAAATATTATTAATGGAATTGGTAGTTTATTCACTAAATACAAATACATATGGCATTTTAGTTTCTTGGCATTTGATGGCGCAATAAATATGTAGGAATTTGTACATCCCCTCCCCTATTTCTTTCTTGCTTTCTTTTCTTTCTCTCCCCCCCCCCCCCCCCCACCTCTGTCTCTCCATCTGTGTGTGTGTGTGTCTCTCTCTCTGTCTCTTAAGATGAGATGGGATCTTACTCAAAGGGGAGGGGGGCACTGATTCCTCCTAGACACCAGACAAAATGTTCTCTACCATGAGTCACCCCTGACACGCCCTCTCCCGAGACTATCGGAGCGTTGCCATGCCGAAAGAATAAGATCCTGGCAGTTGCTGCATCGCCTGGCTAGTTTCTCATCCTGAATGGTACTTATCTTCAAGTCCTTCTGCAAATAACAAAGCAAAATAATACAACAAAATTTTGCATTATATCAACCACTTTGAACATGTTAGGTGTTTTGGTGCACATATAACAAAAAGATAGGCCTACACGGCCAGCTAAACATTAAAGAGTTCCAAAAATATGTAAAGCCTCATTCTAGTAGCTGATTTTCTTGGCGAAAATCATCCAACAACGATGGAAAAGACCATCAAACCAACAACAAGCTGAATAATCTGATAAAAAATAGTGAAGCTCGGTAAATTTTAAATCCTGGATACTATGGATCTTTTAAGCCCTTCTGCAAATGACAAATGCATAAATACTTGTTGGCTAGTACAGCGTTACCTCCTTGAAGTCATGGTACCCATTACAGTTTCTCATCACCCAAATCCTAAATTCATCCCAGGAGATATATTTTGCATCTCTCGGGCACTCGTCAAGTGCCATCTACACATGTACAGGCACATTTGTTTCTATTTTTTGTTGAAGTGAGCGAGCCAAAAGTATGGTAATGTCATGTTTAATGTGGTAACAAATTTATTTCATAATCAAAACTCTAGATAAGATATAAAATAATGTCTGCCTGCACCTCACCACTGAATATACATTGATTTGCTACATTGCATTGTAAATTGATTTATATGATATATATGTTTATATACAGATTATTGATGTACATCACTGAAGTTTGATAAATACAATACAATACATGAATACAAAAATCATATATTCAGTCACTTTTGGAAACACAAATATGAGGATAATCAGGCACTTAGTTCATATAATCATCCTGTTTCTAAATGTTTCTAAATGTTGCGGGCGAGCAAAGCGAGGATGGAGGACAATTTGTTATCTTTAAAAATTCTCTTTCTACATGAGACTACATATTCTAGCGGTTAGTAGTAGTCCTGGAGGAAGTTCACTAACTGCCTGGCGAAGGGGAATAGTCTGGGGGATGGTTATCATTGGTGGTAGTTGTTCAGAGATACAGTCAAACCTGTCTAAAGCGACCGCCCAAGGGAAACACAAAAAGTGGTCTTTGAAGATAGGTGGTCACTAAAGCAGGTTTGACTGTAGTTGTCTTATGGGAGTAGCGGAATAGTTGTCCAGGGCGGGGTGGTAATTTGGTAGGTAGTATCATAGAGTCCATATATTCATTTATACAAAGGGGTGATAGTGAGCACTAAAAAAAAAAATTCCTCAACCCCCCCCCCCCCCCCCCCCCCCCCCGACTTGAGTAAAAAAAAAAATTAAAAAAAAGGTTTCAGGAAAAATGGCATCTAACAACATTCCCCACCTTTGGAGTAAGAAAATTGGGGAAAAATAGGGAAAATTAGGGAAAATAAGGGAAATATTGGCAGACCTGCCAACCTCTGGAGTTCAAAAACTGTATTCTTTAGTGTCAAAAGTTGTATTTTACTGACAAAAGTTGTATTCTTGAAAATAAACACGGATTGTTACGCGGATCAATGCCTCTTTCAGTTTCTACCTACAGGAAGAATTTTTTTTATTGATCATTGGTTGAATATGCATTATTTCGTCACAACTGGTGTGTTGGAATAACCAATAAACATCCCCAAATTGCCGATGTGAGATGCTTGTAGGATACTTTACAGGACAGAATGGACATTTTGACATTGAAAATCGTACTAAATACAACTAAATCGTACTGGTTGGCAGGTCTGTATTGGGATAAAATCAGGGGGAAAAAAATTGAGAAACCAATTTATATCTGATAATTATCAGGCCTGTATACATTACCTGCGTCCTCTGATGGAATGCCTGTGAGAGATGATTGACAAACTTATCAAGCTCCCGGCTGCAGTTGAAATACAACAACCATGGATTGTCACAGTCTGTATTCCTGAAGCTCTGTCAAAAAAGAAATTATGCAGGATGTAAGTAAAGTAAGTAAAGTAAAGTTTTATTTAACCATAAAATGAAACATGTACATACAAATGAGTAACATAGTAAACATATTACGGTAAAGGACACCCTTAGAAGCAAATTGCTTGTGGTGGGGCCTTAAAAAGAAAAAACAAACTACACATAAATTATACAGTTTAAAAACTTTAAAATAACATGATACAAACACACAAGCACGCTCACACATATACATACACACATACATTCAAAATATCCTCCTCTGCTCAAACTTGTTTACATAAATCATTAAATAATAACTGTGTACATCGTACTTTAAATCGAGATAGAGTTGTACTTTCCTTAATATCATTACTCAAATTATTCCATTCCTTAATGCCATTTAAATAGAAAGAATTTTGTGCATTTGTCGTACGAACTTTAAATAAATGTAAATGATTTTTCTGACGAGTAGAATACGAGTGAATATCACTATTAATAACAAAGTTTATATTAGGAATTTCTGGCAATAGGCGATTTTGAAATTTAAACATAAATATGCGAATATTAAATTGAATCAATTCAAAAATTGGGACTACGTGTGTTTTAACAAAAAGTGGCCGTGATGGGGCTAAATAATCAGATTTAGTAATAATACGCACGGCTCGTTTCTGTAACAAATAAATCTTATCTATATATGATGCATAAGTATTTCCCCAAATAATATTACAATAATTTACATGTGGAAAAATCATACTATTATACAACATAAGCAAAATATTTGATGGTAAAACATGCTTTAGCTTTGACAAAACTCCAATACTTCGAGATAATTTCAACGAAATGCAATCAATATGAGGTTTCCAATTAAGTAATTCATCAATTATAATACCAAGAAACTGAACACATTCTTTCCTTTTTATAATATTTACATCAATTTGTATAGGCAATAAATCACTAGGGATCTTCCGATTTCGAGAATGAAATATTACATAATTTGTTTTATCATAATTGAGAAATAATTTATTACATTTGAACCAATTATCCAATTTTATCAATTCATTATTCATAGTATCAACTAAAGTATATACACTACTATGTGATGTAGTAACGGAAGTATCATCTGCAAAGAGTGTAAAATTTAATACATTTGAAGATTGTTTAATATCATTTATATAAATTAAAAACAAAAGGGGCCCTAGAACAGATCCTTGAGGAACACCACATATTACATCCCTTTTAGTCGAACAGACACCGTCAACCACCACATACTGCTTTCTATCACTCAAATAGTTTTCAATTAATTTCAATGGAAGGCCGCGAATACCATAATAATTTAATTTTTTGAGCAGTATGTGGTGGTCAATGGTGTCGAACGCTTTTGACAAATCCATAAACACACCCAATGAATAATTACCCTTATCCATATTCTTAATTACATAATCTGTTAAATGAAGTGCTCCCAAACATGTAGAATAAGTCTTCCTAAATCCAAATTGCTCATTTATCAATAAATTGTTTTTAACCAAAAAATCATAAATTCTTTTTTGCAGGATTTTTTCAAATAATTTTGAAAAAATTGATAAAAGAGCAATTGGTCTATAATTTTGTATATTTTCTTTTTCATTTTTCTTATAAATGGGTATAATTTTAGCTAATTTCAAACTGTCGGGGAATACTCCAGAAGAAATTGATTTATTAAATATATTACATAATGGATCAACAATAAAGTGTATACATTCTTTTACTACTCTGGGAGAAATACCATCTGGGCCACTTGCTTTATATGGTTTCAATGTTTTACTAAGTTCAATTATTTCAAATACTGTAGTAGGTTTTAAAAACAATGTAAAATCATTATGAGTTTTTAAATAATCATTAAATGAAGTATCTACAACAGGAATGCCACGAGCTAGATTACTCCCTACATTAACAAAGTATGAATTGAAACATTCAACAATCTCTTTTCTATTATTGTAACTAATATTTTCAAAATACATATTACATGGCAAATCATTCTTCTTGCTCTTTCCTAGTAATACATTAACTTGTGACCATGTTTTCTTGCAATCATGTTTATACTTAGCAAACATTTTATAATAGTACTGTTTCTTAGCTGTTCGTAATAAAGAAGTTAATTTATTTTTATATATAGTATACTTAGTTCTATTATTATCATTACGTTGTTTCAAGAACTGTTGATGTAATTTTTGTTTCTTTCGTACTGATATTAAAAGTCCTTTACTCATCCATAGTTGCTTGAATTTGCACTTCTTGTTCTTTTCAAAAATGGGTAACAATGGAAAACAATCATCGTACAATAATGATAATTTACATATAAATTCATTATAACAATAATTCACATTATCAACATTATACATATTTGACCAATCTATTTTTTTCAACTCATTCTTCAATCGAGATATCCCGTCTTTTGTAATTTTTCTTTTCTTCATACTAGCAAATTCAGAACGATGTCTATACTGATTATCTTTATTATTTTTACAAACATTAATACAATACACTGGAAAATGGTCAGAGAAGTCGGAGTATAACAAACCTGAATGTACATTATCATTTAAAGTATTTGTAAAAATGTTATCAATAAGTGTTGCAGTTTTTGTAGATACTCGAGTAGGTTTCGAAATTAGTGGAAGCATATAAAATGAAAGCATTTTTTCTAAAAAATCATTTGTTTTATCATGAGAAGCACAATTTAATAAATCAATATTAAAGTCGCCCATAATATATATTTCTTTTCGTTCACTATCCAATAATTCTAAAACAGAGTTCATCTTTTCTATAAAACATGGTATATCAGAGCTTGGTGGGCGATAAATACAAGTAATTACAATAGGTTTTTTTAAAGATTCATTTGTTTCAATTGATACAATTTCATAATCAGGTGTAATGCATGTCAAATCATTGCGAATTTTATACCGGATATTGTGCTTAACATAAATTGCAACGCCCCCACCGTTTTTATTGTCTCTACATTGTTGTATCAAGGAATACCCCTGCATAGAATATATATCAAGATCAAGATTTGGGTGGAACCATGTCTCAGAAACAGCAATAATATCAAAATCAAATTTCACTGAACTGAGTAGTAACTGAAAATCATCAAAATTCTTTTTTAAACTTCTTGCATTTATATGTATTAAAGACAAAGATGGTGTACATAAGCTATATTTCTTTCCAAAATCTTCACAAAACATATAATCACATTTGAGTTGAGTTACATCATAATCATTATCCAAAAATGGTGTTTCACTGAATTTGAGTTCTTTATTCATAACAAATGGATTTATTTTCAAATTTTGGAGTCTTTCAATATTAATATTTTGATTCAATTGAAAGAAACTGAATACATTCCAATAAAAATCATTGTCACTAAGAAAATGATTAAAAGGTAATATACTTGAAATACATTGCGTACAGATGAATGATTGAGCAGAGGATAAAAAATCAGCACAGTTCACACACTTCATACACACTCACCCAGATAAGTCAAACAAGTTACAATAAAAAAAAAATCACAAAATCACAAATTAAATCCCCTATTAGGGAATACTGAGTTCAATAATAAAAGTTCAAAGTAAAAATGTCTATTGAGAGGGTCGGGAACCTCCCAGGGAAATATTATAGTTCTGTCATCTTACTTTCTCTTTCTCTCTCTAGCTGTCTATCAGTCTATGTGAGTTTTTCTTCACGTTCTATTCGTGTTAATGTGGTTACCTTAATTTTCTTGCCTCTTCTATGGTACCGATAACTTTCCTGACCGATTTGCCGTTTGTCGCAGGGAGTGCTACCAGGATGCGGCCATCTGACGACCAAGCTGCGGATACTCTTGGTGACGATCTTGCCACCTTGAGTATTTCGTAGTTATGGGAGGTCAGGTCCTCCGCTATAGTAATCCCGGAGTTTTTGAGCCGCCGTCTAACCGCCATCAGTGTCTGCTTCGCGCGGTAGGTAGCAAATTTGACGATGATCGGTCGGTGGTGAACCTGTTCCGACCTCCGCGTCGCCCTATCCGCCACAGCGGCCCACGATGTCGGTGTCGATGCGGCTGTGTTCTCCGGTCCACCCGGAGTCGAGGTCGGTGTCGCTGGTAGTCTCTGCTGGTGAACTGAGGCTCCTATGCCCTGAGTGTCTGGTCTCCAGATCGCCCCGATCCGGTGGCTTCGGTCGAGGTCCTTTAGTTGTAGCTCCACTCCTAGCTTCTCCTTGGCAATGTTCATGATGACTTTGTCGGTCTGTTCTCCTGTGCTTTCGGGGACTCCAAAAACTCGTATACAATTTCTCCTCGAGTACTGCTCGGCGTCGTTGCACTTGTTTTGTAGTCTGTTTGTTGAGTCTTCCTGTGTTTTGAGTCGTTTTTCCAGATCGTTTATTTGTTGGCTTTTACGTTCAGTCTCGATCTGAAGTGAGACAATATTTGACTCGTTTGACTCTACTTGCTTCGAGAGTTTGGCGAATTCTTGTTTTAGTTCTTGCATTTCCTCTCGTATTGTTTTCTTAATCGTTTTTTTGATCATGTCAAAGAAGTCTTTATTGTTGAGAAGTTCAGGGATCGGAATTTGCGTGATTTCGCTTGACTGTGAGTTTCGCGTTGCTCTCCCTGCCATAACTCGGGCTGATTTCCTTTCATTAGATCCACTGTTTAGACCCTCCATTGTGTGGAGGGGTACGGCGATACAAAGGAGGGGGGGCATTAAAGGCATTGTTTAACAATGTTAAATCTGAGATGCACGGCCCTACGTACTATCAGTGTCTGTGATATGGTTTAATATTGAACCCCTAAAAAAAAATTGTGCTTCAAAATGATCAAGAAGTGCCTCAAAAAGGTAAAATCTTTGAGTGACCGGTTTTACCATACTCGTTTTCTCCAATAGACTGTAGTGTTATAGAAACCGTTAGGAAAATGCAAAATTTGATTTCAATTTCCAATCATAAATATCTTTATAATCAGACAAGCGATCGGCTTGTCAAAGTCATGGGGTTCCTGACTGACCTCAAGGTTTATAATTATCATTGCAGCATGAGCTAAATCCAGGATTTTGTTTCAGAATCTGAGACAAAGTTACCCAATCCCTTTAATGAGAAGAATCAAGTTGGTCCACATGTATCTGTTCTAAAGCAGCTTCACAATTCCATTGTGTTCTCTTTATCCAAATTTGCCATTATGATATTGTTTTTTTCTATGGTCAAAAATAGGATTTGATAAATCCCGCAGAATAAAGAAAAAACGAACCAAAACATTAACAACTAGATGGAATTTTGACTGCGCGCAGTCGAAAATGATGCCTCCGCCATAGAGCAATTTAAACAAGTTTGGAGTTTAAATCTCCAGTGGTTCTTGAGATATCATGATAACAATCTCAATGTATGGAATTTCATAAGTTGACCTCTGTGACCCTCGACCTTTGACCTACGTGCTCCAAAATCTAATCAGATTGTCTTCCTATGGTGATACACACTATCATTAAGTTTGAAGTTTAAATCTCCAGTGGTTCTTGAGATATTATGATATGGTGATACATACTATCATTAAGTTTGAAGTGAAAATTCTCCAGTGGTTCTTGAGATATCGCGATAACGATCTCAATGTATGGAATTTCATAAGTTGACCTCTGTGACCCTTGACCTTTGACCTACGTGCTCCAAAATCTAATCAGATTGTCTTCCTATGGTGATACACACTATCATTAAGTTTGAAGTTTAAATCTCCAGTGGTTCTTGAGATATTATGATAACAATCTCAATGTATGGAATTTCATAAGTTGACCTCTGTGACCCTTGACCTTTGACCTACGTGCTCCAAAATCTAATCAGATCGTCTTCCTATGGTGATACATACTATCCTTAAGTTTGAAGTTTTTACATCTCCAGTGGTTCTTGAGATATCATGATAACAATCTCAATGTATGGAATTTCATAAGTTGACCTCTATGACCCTTGACCTTTGACCTACGTGCTCCAAAATGTAATCAGATTGTTTTCCTATAGTGATACACACTATCACTAAGTTTGAAGTTTAAATCTCCAGTGGTTCTTGAGATATCATGATAACAATCTCAATGTATGGAATTTCATAAGTTGACCTCTGTGACCTGTGACCTTTGACCTACGTACTCCAAAATCTAATCAGATCGTCTTCCTATGGTGATACATACTATCCTTAAGTTTGAAGTTTAAATCTCAAATGGTTCTTGAGATATCGTGCTAACAAACTCAATACAAGGAATTTCATAAGTTGACCTCTGTGACCTGTGACCTTTGACCTACGTACTCCAAAATCTAATCAGATCGTCTTCCTATGGTGATAAATACTATTCCCGAGTCTTAAGTTTAAATCTTAAATGGTTCTTGAGATATTGTGATAACGGTCAAACGGGACGGACGTACGGACGTACGGACGGACAACCCGAAAACATGATGCCTCCGGCACCACCTTCGGTGGCGAAGGCATAAAAATCAATTCCCCAATCAATAATCTTACTCCCCCACGACCTTTCATTCAGGGTTTTCAGATATAAGTGCATTGAGAGGTTAAGTCATTATGCAATATAAATGTACTATACAAGAACAGAATACCATTATCATTCCCAGTGCTTTTTATTCAAAAGGCATCACAAATTTGAAAGACCTATAACGTAACCTATTCAATAATGACGACGGATAGTCAATCTGTTCAAAACGTCGAGCCACTCATCCTCTCCAAGCGCTATAGTTCTCCTTAAAACTATAAGCTAAGAAAGATAACAAACAGTCCTTTTCAGGACTCCTCAATCCTCTCTCTCTCTCTCACATGGTGCACCCGCAAGCCTACTGTATATTCAACAATGTAACAGACTAACGGTGTTATACTTGCTTAGAGGGCTGACATAGAGGGCAGGAGAGATTTCACCTACTACTCACCATGACGAGATAGGATAGATTAGACTTGCTTCTCTCCACCCGGGAGATGGTTCCTAGATCTGTCCTGGCTAGGGTCCTGAAGAAGTGTGTCTGATAGTCCTCCAGGCACAGCAGCACTGAGCGGGATGTGATGACAGCACAAGAGGGCTGGCAAGGGTTGGGCTTAGGTCCCTTCATTTGAGACATAGAGTGCTGGCAAATATGAAAACAATGATTTATTATTGAAATTATCCATCAATCTATCAATCCATCTCTCTATCCAGTCATTTATTCATTTATTGGACAAAGTGTGACTGGTAGTCTTCTAAACCCAGCAGGACTGACAGCACCAGAGGGTTATCAAAGGTTTAAGCTCCTTCTGCTGAGACAGACTGCTGTAAAATATAAAAATAGTAATTTATTAATGTTCTATCCATCAGTCTATCTGTCCATCTCTCTATCTATTATTCCAGTCATCTATTCGTTTGTTTGGAAGAAGAGTGTCTATTCTAAACACAGCGGGACCGGCGAGATGTTGACACGGCACATGAGGGTTGGCAATCACAGTTGAATTTTAATACTTTAATAATGTTTACTTGCCTGATTAATTAACGATTGAACATGCAGTAAATTCTCTTTCAATTTTGTTCTGTCAATGACATAAAACAGGAAAGTGCTTTATTTTGGACAATGAATTGCATTGAATTAAAAACATTGTTTTTATTCCAGAGACATTTTGATAGAACAGACCTGTATAATATATTCAAAGTTTTGGATGGTTTCTCAAAGAACCTTTGATGAGAAGCTATCAAATCTGTTATTTATGATAGCAAATGTATGGATGAAATCCATGTGGCGTACATCATTCTTTTAAAGACCGTCAATACTACTGGGCCAGAAGGGATTAGACCACCCAGCCAGGTCATTGACAGATGGCTATCTCATCAACTCAACTCTCAACTAACATAAGAAAAAGAGGATCATGGGGGACCAACGAGCACCAATTGGGAAAGTTTTCTATATAGAGGGAGCAAGTAGCTAAAAGTAGGACAGTGGGGCTTTAAAACGTTTTGAGGTTTATCAAAGACAAATTGTTTTTCTTCAGAAGCAAATATCAGAATATGAATACAGGAGAAAAGTGGACTATTCAAGTTCTTTCTGCTGACACTAATAAGAAAGCCAAGCTTACTTGATGTGAAGCGACCTCACAGATACTCTGCAACCAGTGAGATAGCTCAAGTTCATTCTCACAAGACAGCCGCAGAGGTTGACTACCGTCGGTCAAGACTAGCTCAAAGCTGAAACGACGGTCAGTATTGTGGACACGTCGGCATCCTCCAAACCTCTGGGATCTGTGCAGAAGATCAACGTTCAAAGGGGCAAAATATGCAAGTCAAAATCAATACAGTATTGAGAGATATCTACATGTATGTGTGAAAATGAACAAACACCACGAAGTTCATTGTATTGTACTATTGCCTGTATCTGTTATCCACACATCCTCTCCTCACATCACTTGATGATACATGAACGAATGTGGCCAAATCAAATGAATTTGATAGGTTTATTAACAGTAACTCTTCCAAGTTAATTCTGTTAGATGATATCAGAACAATTACCCCCGTAAATTTCCCCCAGAAAACTATCTCCCAAGGACAACCATTCCCATGGACAATTACCCCCCTGTTCATTAAAGGGGGAAATCCACCCTGATAATAATCTTTCTTTCTTTTTTGTGGGGGGGGGGGGTAATTGTCCACTGGAGTAATTTTCTACAGTGGGAGGGGGAGGGGGTAATTATCCTAGGAGTAATTGCCCTTGGGGTAATTTTCTGGGGGGGGGGTTGATTGTCCTTGGGGGGTAGTTTTCCGAGGGTTAACTTTCCGGGGGGTGATTATTCAGGAGGTAATTGTCCTAGAACCCAACAATCACGATAACTTTCTATTTAAATTTGAATTAGTCAACAATGTCTTAAGATTTTTTCCATTAAATACTTTACTGAAACTAGCAATTTGGTTAAAAAGACGCACACAAAAAAAATTGCACAAAACATCTTTTTTTTTTGCATCTTACATACATACAAGAAATATTTAAACAAGCTGCCACCTACATGTATTAGTACCACCACCATTATCATCCCTTCTCCATCTCTTACTTACCCAAGATCAATGATGAGATCGGGCTCCTCTGCCTCCTTCCTTGGATATCTCTTCAGCACATTCTGTTTAAGCTTAAAGTAGGCTACCTTCCAGTAGCTTCCTACAAAGAATGATTCCTTGGTTTTATAGTGCAGCATGCCCTTCCTCTTGGTTGCTGGTAGGTAGAGCTGAAGATCTGCAGCCGTAGTCGAGTCAAGAAGGTCCTCCCAGTGGACCAGGTTGTACAGGTGCACTTCCACTTCAGACATCTGATATGAATTAGATCATTGGATTACAGGGGGGTGTTTCACAAAGATCCAAAGTCGAACTTAACTCTAAGTTGGACTTAAAAATTATGGAGAGCCATTTGTAGCCTTAAAATAAAATATTTAAAAGTGAACATTGAAGTATTTTAGACTTTTTATAAATCCCACATCAAGAACATGAAATCTCCTTGATAATAGAAAATATGAATGATTTGAATCAACATTTTATGCCCTTTTAAAATAACTTTTACAAAATATTTTCATAGCAGACCTGCCAACCTCTGGAATTCAAAAACTGTATTCTTTAGTCCCAAAAGTTGTATTTTACTGACAAAAGTTGTATTCTTGAAAATAAACACGGATCAATGCCTCTTACAGTTTCTACCTACAGGAAGAATTTTTTGTTGTTGATCATTCGTTGAATATGCATGATTTCGTCATGACTGGTGTGTTAGATGAACCGATGAACATCCCCAAATTGCTGATGCGAGATGCTTGTAGGATACTTTACAGGACAGAATGGACATTTTGCCATTGAAAATGGCGGACGCACACACAAAATATTAATTAAAAATAAATAAATAAAAAATAAAAAAATGTTTTAAAAAAGTTTTTTTTTTTTTTTTTTTGAAAATCGTATTTTATTAAGGAAGATCGTACTGTCGTATTTGCTTCTAAAAATCGTACTAAAAACGACTAAATCGTACTGGTTGGCAGGTCTGTCATAGATGCTTACGGCTTTCCTAAAGTCCAACTTAGGATCTTAGTGAAACACCCCACAGGTGTTGACAATCTAGGCTCTGTCTCACACTGACTTCTGATTGATTAAAACCAATCCCAAATCTTCCATCCAATCGCAAAGTCACAGTCGCCCATTTCGTAAGCGAGGCATTGTGAACATTTTTGGCAGTCTCCATTTTCCTCCCTTTATATCAAGTAATAAATGAGGGTAAATATCTTGCTTTAGGCCAAGAGTGCTATACCACAAGTTTGAAATCCAATACCTTCACATTTCAGATCATTCACCAGCCATTAGACTACCAAACCTCTTTCTTACATAAATATACATACCACAACCACTACAAGAATTTCAAAATTATTTCACTCGATAAGATCTTTGTAAAACTTGCAACCAAAAATAATCGGCCATCCTTGGGCACTAATCGGCTTTGCCTCTATACCTTGTTTTTACTTTCCTCTCTCTTTTTCTCTCACTCTTTGCCAGAATCTATTAATTAAATCTATAAATAACAAATACTTACTTCCACTTTCTCTTCTCCGGCAACATATTTCTTGAGACCAATGGCCTGGGCAGTAGCATCAGTGAGAACACACAGAGAATCTATCTGATTACCCATCTTCATGACTGCTCTTAAACTGTGCACAAAGAATCTGTGAAATACCAAAACAGAAATCATTATGATAAATCAGTACAAAATGTTTTGCCTATAACTACCAAAACTACTACCACAGCTACTAATCAATTGAGCACTTATTAATTAAACCCCAGAATCCTGCCAGTTTGACAGTACAGAAGGCTGTGTGAAATATTTTTTAAAAATTTGTATTTATTGTCCAATAGACCGGTTTACTAACCTATTCAAATTTAATGCATACTTCTTAAACAAAGAATGTCCTTGAAAACCCCAAAGCTTGCCCATCATAGCAACAAGTAATGTATGCAGACTGGGTTCCGAGTATTGTAGTTCATTTATTAATAACAGGTAGATGGAATATTAAACTCATCACTGGGTCCCTAAGAAAGAAATATTCATAAATTAGTCTATTATAAAATATCTACACTTGATTATTTACTACCGGTAAATCATGGACACATACTCTTATCTTTTGGACTGGGAAAGCTCTTAAAGAATTAGAGGGAAGGGGAGGGGGTGAGTTTATTATTAATTTGGTATAGTGAAAAATGCAAGTATGTAAAGGAATCGACCTCCAACAGAGCTTAATATATATTTGCCAAAAACACATTCACCTTGATAAAGTTCAACATTCCATCTATTTGCAGCGGATACAATCCATATTACAATCCAATTAATATGTAGAGGTGTCGTGGTCGAGTGGATACGTCACCAGACTGTCGATCACAAGGTCCCCAGTTCGAGTCCCACCGCGGCACTAATGTCCTTCGGCAAGACATTGATCTAGATTTGCCACACTCCACCCAGGTGAAGTAAATGGGGACTCGGTAGGAATTTATTCCTTGAAACGCAGAGCGCATAACAGCTGCTCTGCTAAAGCCAGGGTAATTATGCTGCATCATTGCAGAGCGCTTAGAGACTTCTGACAAAGTAAATTTTAGGCGGTATATAAGCAAATATAATTATATCTGTTTGCTTTGAGAAAAATGTAATCCGACATTTGATTGATTGATTTACCTTGTCAATGATTGGCTGCCTGTTGTCAACCAGAAATGTTTCCTTCTGTTCTTACATACCAGCTGAACAGACTGGTAGTTGAGACCAATCTACGGTAAATCAGATTTTATGATATATTAAATGACAGATATAAATAATAATAATAACTACATTTATAGGGCGCTTTATACAGACGTTTTTAAGCACACAGGTGGTACTGTCTAACTTATAATTATTCAACATGTTCAATGCCTTAAAAGCTACAAAATAAAATAAAATATTACTAATACAATACAATACAATACAATTGAGTTGAATGGAATTAATTACTTGTGTGCGCCTCCAGTAAACTATAACTGATTAAAAAGGTGGGTTTTGAGAAGGGTTTTGAATGATTCAATGGATTGGGCATTTTGAATATAGGGTGGGAGTTTGTTCCAGAGGGCGGGGTAATCGATGAAAAGGCATGGTCACCATAACGGGTTTTTGTTTGTGGGCCGTGAATTAATTGCATGGAGGAAGATGAACGAAGGGATCTGGCAGAAGAGGAGGATCAAAGATATACTAATAACAATATATAAATAAAAACAATTCTGATATAGTTCATACTGTATACAACCTTGAATGTGTTTCACATATCACAATTCACATTCTAAAGCAATCAAATCACAATATACACTTAAGTGTCTAGATAAACAGTTATAATACAAAATATTACATTATTTTAAATCAATCAAAACACGATATACACTCAAGTGTCTAAGATATTGGATAACACTTACAATACAAACATTACAATCATTTAAAGTACCTGTACATTGTATAGTTGTGTACACAACTCTAGTTCTCTAAACTAACTTTTTATTGGGGGTGTGGGTGCAGAATAAAAATGTTAGGATCTGTATGTCACTACACCTGATGACATGAAGGGACAGAGGTGTCCAGTGTAAAATAATCTGGGTATGTGTGTATCACAATCCTAAAAGTGTTAAAAAGAAGTTCTGGGGAGAGGTGAAAATAAATTTTGAGCGTTATCATCATTATTATTCAAGTGTGGAAGAACATCAGAGAAAAAATGATCCCTGAAAAACATGGCTCTTCAAATGCATTCATATTCTAAATATGACAAGTAACAACCTTACTAAAATGAGGCCTGATTTTATGCCACATATATTTGTGCAGTCTCATCTGTATACAGTGCTTGTTTACTTTACCAAGACTGCGGGGGAGGGGGGGGGGCTAAATGTCTTATCATTTTGATGACTGCAGAACCTTGTAACACACATAAATACATATATGCTACAATGTAAATGATCAACCTTTTCTGATCGATTCCACACCGTTTATTTCACAATGCAATCGAATGACCAGAACTCAACTTTATCTTAATTCCTTCATTGATTTAAGCTTGATGTACACTGTAACTTGTGCAGACCTGTCAACCTCTGGAGTTCAAAAAATGTATTCTTTTATCCCAAAAGTTGGATTTCACTGACAAAAGTTGTATTCTTAAAAATAAACATGGACTGTTATGCAGAAGAATTTTTTATAGATCAATGGTTGAATATGCATAATTTCATCACGACTGTGATTGTGTTCGGTGAACCAATGAACATCCCCACATTGCCGATGTGAGATGCTTGTACTGTAGGATACTTTACAGGACAGAGTAGGCATCTTGCCATTCAATTATTTTTTTTTTTTTTTTTTTTTTTTTTTTTACCGGTAATCGTATTTTATTGAGGAAAATCGTACTGTCATATTTGCTTCTAAAAATCGAACAAAATACGACTAAATCATACTGGTTGGCAGGTCTGCTTGTGTACTTGTTTGAAGTGGAATAAATTAAAAATGAAAGTGAAGTGGTTTCAATAAGAATTCAGTCAAATGCATCCTGTGTATGCTGACAATCTCATCAAACACACATTATTATTATTCTACTCAGCTTATTCCATACAAATAAGTTGCATGACTTTTCCACCACACTTACGCACAATTAAGGGTAAAACTATAGTATTGATTCAATGTTTACTTCCAAGTTCATGTTTACTTTGTCTTATGTACATGATCCATTGAATGCAATTAAGCAAACAACATGGCCAAACCACAGTGTATATAATCTCTAAATCACTACAACTCAAAAACTCTTATAAAAAACCAAAACGTACACTGTACCGTAAATAGAAACTAGTTATCAGATGACACAGTAAGAGGCTAATTGTAGAATGCTTTATCTCATTGTAAAACAAAAAGTGTTATTTGATCTCTAATTTGTACAAGATACAGTGTATCATGTGTCAAATGTTAAGCACTAGAAAAACAAGATTTTCCTTAGGCCTATCAATTTACAGAGAGCATATCCTCTGCTGTGGGCCAAAAAGGCATTCACTGTGTTAAAGGTAATACAAAGTTTTGGGAAATTTTGAAAATTGGGTGGATAGTGATTCTTTTAATACAATTTTGATATATTTGGATGCCCATGTGGATTTATTACAAGCACAAGAAAATTTAGCCCCTAAAACACCCCTGCTTTCGAGAAAAATTGAATATAAAGATTTACCGGTGTTCCCCTAAATTTTTATAAATTTCAAATAGCGCCTACGGCCGTACAATGGTAGCTGCGATCATGAAAATCTCAGAATATGTAGTTGTGATACATTCCAAACGGAAATAGCTAATCGGTCGATTCTAGTCAAGAAACATTGTTTTATAGCTTAATTAATATCTTGACCTTGAGAGGGAGCCATACAACATGAAGAGTTTATTATTTACAATTTCATAACTTTAGACTCGATTTCAACCGCGACAACGATCACTGAATATTGTAGGATCGCATATGCTTCCAATATGTTCATTTGAACCAAATTCATGACCCCATACCAAAACTTTGTATTACCTTTAAAGTAAAGTTAAAGTATATGAGTTGATGCCCTTCTAGCTCCAAACAATTTTAATAGTGGAGAATATACAAATTTAAAGTGCACATTTTGATCAGTAGGAATATTGGCCCAAATAGATACACATCTCAAAGCACAAGCACACTTTTTTTCTACAACTGCAGGAATCCATTGTTCAAAGCCTTGCACTATGCATATGAATCATGAGGGTCATATTGTATTAGAGTTAAATTGTAAAAGCATGGAATATTTCCCAGTATTTGTAATTGCATCAGAATCAGTCAATCACTAAATCATGATCACACAATTACTTATAAGAAAATCATATTGTATGGAGGACTTTAAGTTTCACAGAACAGAAAGCACTTTCAAATTTTAAAGTGCATGATAAAAGTAATATTATTAGTTACTAACTTTCAGTTTCCAAGTGATATTGAATACTTTATTTCCCTACAAACTGACATGGGAAATGCACTGTAAGTATGATTCTAGCTCTGTTTAATTAAATCCCCTTCAAACTCAAGGCTAATCTATATCATATTAATATCTTGTAATCTTACCAAGACATAGTCTAACTCTTGATAAAGCGTCCTGCTCTCTGTTGAGAACCGCCCATTGCGTTCACCTGTCAAAACAAAATGGTACGAACATAAACATATTTAAAAAGACAGAAAGCACAACACTAATCATTCATAGTATAGGGAGTAGTAAATGTAAGTGAAATAACTCATGAAAGAGTGGAATTCTACATATAATAAAATGTCATGAATAAGAAGCTTAAACATTAAATTAAATATCTGACCTGCAAACAATACAATCAATTCTCTAGAGACACAATATTACATATAATACACAATACACAAGCACCATATGCATTTAATAATGAATACAAAATAAATCGAAGCCTCTGGCTCTGATAGAATACCATGTGACCAAGGTCATCGGATGCACAATGTGTGCATGAATGTAGTTATTCATAAAATGGGTTCAAGAATGTAGCCAATGCGAAGAGTCAAAATGGATCACGTGTGCATGCATTAACTTTTACCAAACGCGCACGGAGAATGCATTTTGGTGATAACAACCGTGCAAAAACGGTGCAACAAAAAGGCATAATGCACGCTGCATGTAATTCAATGCATGTTTACGAGAAGTCGCACCTTCTTATGAAGGTTGCAGGTTTACAGTGTTATCGCCTTGCAGAGTAACATTGCCGACCCATTTTACAAAACAAATAATACACAGGTTTTCGTTCGTGACATTATGGCGATGCAGCGCTATTCGGGTATTCACAATCGCACAAAATACACTCGGTTACGCCTCATTAATTTTATTGCACCACAGTGAATACCCTGATGCGCTGCATCAACCTAACACACTCACACCTGTGTATTATTTGTATAGCATAACATGAGAATCATTATATCACTATGGACCACTGTAGCCTTTGACATTTATATCACATTTATATATCTATTAAAATGAAACTGTTGCTTACCTCTTCTTAGAATATATATGGCAAGATCGGTCAAGAGAATGAATGCTGGCAGTAGATTTCCTTCCATGTGGCCAGTACTCAGTCGAATCAGCTATCAAACAAAATACATTCAAATTACTGTGATGGTTATCGTCTAGATCCACTGCTGACAGACATTATCGTATAAAATCAGCCTAAATAACTTTACCTGGGATTCTATAGGTACATGTATAATGTTTAAGGATTAGGAAGAAAATAAAAGATTAGGTACATAAAATGGCGCATACGGAACCCAAGTCCGAGTTGGATTCCATACGCATCCTTTTCTCTGCGTACGCATGTGTAAACTAGTTTACTCAACAAAGCGTTTTACTGTTTACTGCGACTATACTTAAAACTGCAACAAATAATATTTGAAGCTCATATTTTGAATATAGTATACACGTAGCCACATGAAACTCCTCAGATCAAGCACAGAACATATTTTTGTGATTGGTTACACTTTAAATGCCACAGAATCAAACGAAACTAAATGTTCAATTAACTTCAATACCATAACTGCTAAATGACAGAATAAACATATAATTTAGCATTATACATGTACATGTATATCTTGAGCTTTGGTGATGACATCTTATAAATTAAATCAATACTGATATTAAAGCACTTACTGTACATGTAGTTTTTACAATGATACAGATACATGTTAACTGCTAATTGATTTGGCAAGAAGATGTATGATAATGTGGTAATGAGTCAAGATGGATGAGGAAGAAGGGATACATGTACATGTAGTATGGAGTCCAACATAAGAACCACTGAATACAGGTACATGTATAAAGTATTGTGCTTTTCATGAAATAAGAATTCCAGGCAATATTTTTGTTGACAATAGTTTCTTTTACATGAGCTGGTCCAAACAACCTGTACATGTTGTATTTCATGCATGAATAACAAAATATTCAGATTGACTTTAGACCACTTTCTCTTGTTGCAAAGATCCCTTTACCACAACTTGAAATTAATCTATAAATAACATGCAAATACATGCACAAGTGCACTTGTTTCTACTCATCTATCAGTTTTATTACCTAATACAGGAAGGATATTATTCATCAACAGTACAGGTACTTGGAAAAATCAATAAATTACTTTAAATATCTTCTGGATCATTAGCACTCAAATCTTACTTGCTTTTGAACAAGACATTTCAACATAAAATATATATGTTACTAGCATTAAAATAATGATAATAATATTCCGCTTATATAGCGATGAGGAGTAAAGGAGTTCTTAACTAGGCGTTGTGGCGTGCGCCTGTAATCCAGCTAAAAGTGGAAGTTACAAACTGATTCAGTCGAGGACACAGGTTCGAAACTGAGTCACGTCTTACGGATGGTGATGTTTAAAGGTCGGTCCCCAGACGTAAATAATCATATCTGATTGATACACGTCTGTAAAAACCCAATACACACACACACACACAAGAGTTCTTAAAGAGAGAACTTTTGCTCCAGGATTTATTTTGTAAAAAGTATAGGGTTAGTGTTAGGGTTGCAATAGAGTTTTACAGTAGGTTAGGTTTTGAGAAAGTTGGGTATAGAGTTATAAGTTACATTGTAGTTTGTAGGCGTTGGGTTAATGTAGGAAGTTATCATAACAAATGTACAGTGTATGCACTTGGAGAGCAAAATAATTATTCTGTTTTATTTACTAATGTAAAGCGCTTCGAGCATGTTTATGTACAGGCGCTACAGTGTATATAAATATCAATATTTATGTATGTATGTATGTATCACACAGCAATTGTTGCAGCAGCAAGTGTCATATACATGTAACTCCTGACTACTCTGGGCTAAGCATATCAGATACATGTACATGTATGATACAAAGGCAAAGAGTCACTTCAAATGTTATGAACCAGAGCAAAATAACACTGGGTTCCTATAGGAAATCTATTTATTCAGATTGTCAAATCTCAGCCAATGCTTAACATATCGGTATTCAATTGGTTCTCGACATTTGGGCATTATTTTTGATGCTTTTTCGGAAAATGAAGAAAAAATTGAGAAATTCTAAAAATTGATTTTTAATGACATCACACTTCACCACTCTATACTTCAATGCACAAAGAAGTAGATATGAAACTGCTGTGAAAAACAATAAACCACAACTTTATTGTACTAAGAAGCTAATGTCTTACCTTATGATATTTCTCGTCTTCAATTTTGAATATCTCCAACATTAAGTAGAGTTTGAGATTGTTGTCAACCCTGCAAAATGTACAATGGGTGGAATAATCAATATTTACAAGTAAAGGATGATGTGAAACATACACATACATTCAGATCACTCTATACGAGAAATATAAATAAGGTAGTGATCACTGTAATCACATTCATTTAATTCCACTTACAGTATTTGAATGTACTGTTCTACAGCTTAACTAGAATAATAATTCTTCAACTTCCTTTCTCACACAAATCTTCTGGCAATATCTTACCCAATGAGGGATTATAACCTCTAATTTCATACTCTCAGACCAGCCATACAGAACATCTTATAACATGAACACTCTGTGCTCTATTATAATTTATGAGAATATCAAACAATCAAAATGAATACAGGGTTGGATAATGTACTCACTTCATTTCAGCTTCATGAGTTGTCATTTTCTCTCCATCTTCATCACAGTAAAAGTCGTACGTTTCCACAGCAACTGCATCAGGTGGATTACCACTGTCATATGCATTAACATCCACTGCACAGAGAGGATCCATACTGGCATCCTTGCCATCCCCTTGACTCCGCTCTCCCAGGAAATCGTTCTTATCCACAAGGACAAAGCCATCAACATCCTCCTCTGCACTCTGCACAATTGACAGCCCGTGGGGGCTTGCGTCCAAGGTGCCGTAATCGGAGTCTGCTGCAGGAGTCGAGGGCGCGCAGGAACTGGTGGTGGTGTTGTTGGTATCTGTGGTGGTGTTGCTGGTATCTGGGTTGCTTCCGATGCCAGAGGAAAGGCTGTCTGAGCTGCAGGTGATGATATCCTTGCTTAAGCTTGATTCCACAAAGCTTTGATTAATGCCAGAATCAGGACTGATGGGTACATCAGAGATTAAAGACTGTCCACGCAGATGTGCGTCTTGCGATGCTGCGCTGACGTCCGTCCTCTGTGTTGTAAGTTCAACAGATATTGTGTCGTTGTACTCCAAGGTACCTGATAATGTCCTTTGTGGTGGCTTCTGTTTGTCAGATTTGTTGGCTTTTCTATGTTTCCTGATACCGCTATCACCTGATTCCTCGGCCGTGTCCTTTCCACTTTGAAATGCTATACTCTCTCGCAAAAACACATCATCGTCTTCTACTACATCATCATGATCATGTTGAATGCTAACCCTGCAAGCACTCTTTGCAGGGGTTGAAGATACAACTTCTGCATCAAAGCTGTTGTCCGTTATATCTGCCTGCCAGTATATCATAGACTGATCAGCTCCATCCATGGAGGAGTTGAAGCCGTCCTGCGTCATTGGATCAGCAAAGCTGGGCAGTCTGAGCTGGGCGGTATCCACTCTAACTGGCACAACATCTCGGATATGCTCTCTATTAATATCCACATTGTCTTCCTTACATACAACAAAATCAACAGTCGACACTGGTTTCTTTGTATCCTCATACATGCTATCAACTATTTCAGTCACAATTTCAGAACAATGTTCAAGTACATTTTGTCTTTTCTCTGTCTCCTTACTCTCCCCATCAACTCTTCTTGGCCTTCCTTCCCTGTGTTGCGCTAGATCAATTAACCTAGTCCCACTGCTACATTCTTGAGTTGTGTTCTCACTTTCTGGCGCACTACTGGTGGGAACCCTCTCACAATCTAAGTCCTCCTCGACAGCTGAGCACTCCGACAGGTTGGCTGCCGAAGAGAGAGACCCCTCCCCACCCTCAACAGATCCCTCCATTCCCAAACAACTCTCCTTATCCTCAACTTCTTCTTCTTCTTCTTCGATGCAGCTGGACGCGATGGAAACCGTGCTCGGACTTGAGCTCCGGTCTCGTCTCTTCCCTCGCCTCGGCTCTTGCAGCTTCACCACTGGTTTGACATCATTCTTACTGCTCTTCCGCTTCTTCTTCTTCTTTGCTTTCTTGCGGATGCGGATAACCTCAAGGTTCTGATCTTGTTCAGCCACTTTGTCCATGTTAATATCAAAGTCAGGGGTGGAGTAGTTCCTTGTAACATGTTTCAGTTCATTGGAGCTGTTATTGTTGGACTGGGTGTCAAGGTCAAGGGTCAAAGGTCGCGTAATCTCATTTGTGTCATCTGTCTCGTGGGATTCAGTTCCAGAAGGGTTACAAGTTGAAGAAGAATCTTCAGTGGGGTTACCTACAGAATATGACAGGACAAAAAATAATTGTTATTAAAATGGTAACATTGACAGAATAATCCGTACTAATTAGAAATTACTTTATATGCATGACTGAGAGCTGCAAACATATCTGTTTGGCGGAAATTTTTTCTGAAAATATTTAATATGCAGCTTGTTATTTTAAAGAATTAATTAGGAAGGAAAGGATGAAGTGGTTGAATATTAGCTGCGATCAGTTCATTAAGTTAAGAGGTTAGTTTGAAGCCTCTCTCCATTTAGTGAAGCAATTTATACCATTTATATAATGAAGCAATTTATACCGAGGATAGTACCACTGTCACGTCCTTAATAATAACTATGATGCTAATAGATAATATAGCAAAACGTAATGACTAATATCTCTTTTATAGTAAAAATTTAAACTGGTGATTACCAAGGGATCTATTAGCTTCCTTCTCTTCCACCTCATCTCTAGGACTTGCTTCCTGAGTGTCTTCTGCTCTTACATCATCAAAACACACTAGGACAAAGAGAAAAAGAAAGAAAGAAAATATAAGTGCTACAGTCAAGTTGTAAGTTTGCCAACACCGGCACCGCAGGTGTCCGACGCCTGCGGCGCCGGTGTTGGATCTTCCTGGAGTTACACTGCAGTTAGGCTGCAGTGTGTGTGAGTTGAGCTGAGCTGAGGGCTGAGCTAGCTGAGCTCGAGTCGAAGAGATTTGATACTTTGAAATTGTTATCTGTTGGTTTGCATCATTATTGCCGCGATTTCAATATAGTTTCATGAATAGATGTACGAATCCTTAGCTTAGAATTAGTAAAAGTATTACTAATGTTTACGTTTTTAAATGACTGTCTGATTTTCTTGTGAAAATTTTACTTTGAAAAAAGATTATCGAAATTCATGGCTAGAAATAATCACAATCTAGGGTCTATTATGTTACAGTTCTTGCATCAATCAATGCATGAAAACTTAGTTATTGAACTAGAAAAAGGGGTTTCTTTTTTAATAGGCAATTACGAAGCAGGAAGCCCGAAACCTTAGCCTACTAAACAAATCTCAACAAACTGTAGGTCTATCCTTTTATGAATTAATGAAAAAGTAGCCCCAGAAAAAAGAGCCCCCGAAATGGAATAAAGAGCCCCCGAAAGTTGAAAAAGTAGCCCCCGAAAATTTCCCAAAAATTTGAAATGGAGCCCCCGAAATGAAAAACTTAATTTTTTGCCTGACTGACATCTCATCGAGTTGCGTATTAATCTTAATGCATGCGTTTCAATGGGATATCAGTGAATTTGTACTAGAGATGATTTCATTTACACATTTTAAAAATGTGACTGCTCTTTTGTGGCAGATTAACTCGTCGTATCTGAACTACCCTTTAGTGTTGAAACGTTTATTGAAACATTATAATGAAATAAATATGCATATAAAGATGTTTACCTTTCACGCTGCTCTCATCAACGCTTAAACTGGACTGTAGAACATCCCTTGGGGATCCCTCGGGAAAGAATCCACCTTCGATGCCGCCGAGCAGAGAATGAGTATCAAGGTCGTTGACCAGGCTGGATGATGCCGATTCCAAGGACGCATTGCTGTGGATGGACACTGTATCGTCCAGGTCGCGGGGGTTAGAGGCAGACCGGGGTATGTGACTGACCAGGTCAAAATATGCTACATTCTGGGGACAGAAAAGGAAAGATTGCACAATCTAAATTGAACAAAATTGGACAGGGATGTTAACCTGTATAACCGTATGCAGAGATGCCAACCTCTTGACACAAAAAACAGACCGAGTATCCTAAAAAAGCAGATTTTGGAGAGAAAAATCAGATTTTCATGAAAACTCGACACTACCAATGGCCGATTGGCCCCAGGCCAGTAAAATTTCAGAAAAATGTGATACTGGTACGTACGGTCAAGTAAAATGTTAAAATGTTAAAAGAAAATTGTAAAGCAAAGTTTTTGTTGCGGGGGTTTACTTGTACATGTTTCTATGCGATTCCGTGGTTTTTATGGGTATTCAAAAAATTTAAAAAAATAATAATAATAATTAAAAAAAAATTTTAAAAAAAAATTTAAAAAAAATCGTTTTTGTTGTTGTTTTTTTTTGTTAAAAAATCGTATTTTAAGAGGTGATATTGTAATATTGTGTTCCACTCTTATTATCATACTAAATACGATTAAATCGTACTGGTTGGCATCTCTGTGTATGTCACTCTTAACCGTGGTGTATTAGGACCCTCAGGATGAGCAGTATTGATATTGAGGCTATACCGTATCAGACATCTGAGCAGGGCAATTTTTAAATTGTATTGCCCTCACAATTTAATTGAAAAGCCAACAAAAGTACGCACAAAAAAATATATTGATCACTCAGAAAATTCAATGGGATTTTGTGTGTAATTTGCCGGTCAATATTAGTACACAGTTAACCAATGGACAAAAATATATATTGCCTGATCAGAAAAGTCAATGGCGAAATGCATGTTAACTTAGCAGGCAATATGTAGAACCAATATACAGGTATTTTGTAATTTTCATTGTGCATCTATTACGCGTATGAGAACCTGCGCACTATGCGGGCACTCTATTGTGAAGCAATAATCACACCAAATAGAAAAAGGGAAAAATTATAAAGGACAGATATTGTAGATGTAGGGACACTGAATATGTATATCACTACATGTACTAGTACAGCGGATAAGCTCCCAATATAATGAAAATTGTGCACTTTTTGAGAAAAGCATGAAACTTCTAGCATAGTTAGTTTAGACCATAAGATTTATTTTCAGATGTGGAGGGAAGTCAGATTTGACCTCTGATGACCCTGAGAGGTCAAATCCAAAATGGCCACTATTCCTCATGGTCTAATGTACAAACACACTTAACTTTTGAACCAAATAGTCCAGAAAAACATTTAAGGTGTCATTTCCAACTAACTCGGGGATGCCAATTCATTTGGTAATACTTTTGAGATCGCTTGAACTTAGGGTTTTGCATTTAGGTCAAGGTCATGGTCAAAATTGACTAAAAAATAGCAAGTTTTGTATGGTTACAAAAAGTTTTCCCATTTATTTGTCATTTGTTCTCTCCTATGTTCTCAAATTTCTTTAGGAATTTACGCACCTTAATCCCTTTCAGTGAGTTTATGTCACATTTTGATTTGACCTCTGATGACCCTGAGAGGTCAAATAAAAAATGGCCGCCAGTCCGCCGCATGGTCTAATAATTGTACAAACACGCTTAACTCATGAACCAAATAGTCCAGAAAAGCGTTTAAGGTGTCATTTTCAACTAACCTGGGGATGCCAATTCATTTTGGTAATAATTTTGAGATCGCCAGAACTCGGGGCTTTGCATTTAGGTCAAGGTCAAGGTCAAAATTGATTAAAACATAGCAAGTTTTGAATAGTTACAAAATGTTTTCCCATTTTTTTGTCCCCTTATGTTCTCAAATTTCTTTAGGAGTGGTTCCCCTGCATAGTCTCCATCGTAATCAGTTAGTTTATTTCACTAATTATAGCACCAAACCATTATTTGTCTTGTAACTGACCATTTGCATATAGCATGGTCAGTGGGCAGCTAGCAGCGCTCAAAATACACGGGGGCGGTGGGCGATTCGCCCCCGTGAGCTACATAATCGCCCCCGTCAGGTTGCTCACGGGGGCGATTGCAAAATTAAAAATCGCCCCGGTGGAATTATAAAATAAAGATTATCTTTTCTGTTATAACTTTAACACAATATTGAGTTTCAATTTTCAAACCTTAAACCAATGAAATGGAACTAAGATTAGCGTGCAAGATTTCTCGTTTTATGAGTAGACCTATTATTACCGATTCAGCTCGCAGTGCAGTGCCGCCGTCAGCAGTGGTTATAGGCCTACTGCGCCTTTAGTAGCGGTGCGTGTGTACGCTGCCGCGCCATGTCTGCTGGAGCTGGAGGCGATCGCGCAAGGGCAGAAACATGGTCATTGCCTGGAGAAGTTTTTCGTTGTCAGCAAATAATGAACCTCGACCAGTAAATCAATATTAGGGACTTTTAGATTTGCACGATGAGAACATGGACTGCAACGTGTGACCTCCTTTTAAGGCACGGTCAGTGCTTAAAAGGACGTCACATATCGTCCTTGTTTTCACGCAGTGACGGTAGTGAGGAAAATCGTAACACAAAGTGAATGCATTTTTTTTTCACTACCGTCACTTCGTGAAAACAGCGACGATATGTGACTGCCAGTGCCTTAAAAGGACGTAACACGTCCACGTCCACGTCCACGCAAATCTAAAAGTCCCTTTTGAGGAGAAGAGGAAGACCAAAATGTCGTGGAATGATATGGTAACATGGGCAGATCTACGGGGGGGGGGGTTAGGGGGGGGGGTTAGGGGGGGGGGGTTAGGGGGTTTAACCCCCTCCTCCCACCCCCGGCCCCCTTGTGCTGCCAAGTGAAAATGTGATATTAAAGCGGGGGGGGGAGGGGGATGCTGGAGAGGAGGACTACTAATCTATTTTATTTTTTTCAGGGGGCGGGGGGAAGTGAAGCGCCGTTTTAGCATGACTTTCTTTTTAACTCTTACTTTCACCTATCTCAGATAATCCTAAGTTTTTGGTTGCTGCTTTATATGTAGTTGATAATGGATGATTAAAATAAAGAGAGAGAGAGAGAGAGAGAGAGAGAACCACCATCATTTTGCAATGGTTCAGGGTTCGTGTAATGTACATTTGAAACCATTTCTTAGCGTCTCAACCCTAAAAAAATAGCAAAACTATTTTTGAGGAAAAGCATTATACTGAATTAAATAAAGAATAATAGCTTTATATTGGATCATACTAATACTGATACGGGCTAAAGACAATGTGGTATTTGTATAGAGGTATTCCAAAATGACATTCTGATAATCAACATTTGTTCTGGTATCATAATGTATATACGCATAATACAACTGATCTTTATGATTTCTTAACGTGACATAGCTTCTTCTCCCTCTGCAAACAAAACAGAAAACAAGGTTATTTAATAAAAGGACCATGCGACAAATAATCATTGTGATTCAAATTGATGCAAGGATTTTTTTGAATAAGCAATGCTTTTCACCAGAATCTTCTTTGTAAAAACGACTTTTATAAATCTCAGCCATTCAATTCTGCCACTGTGCTGTAAGATCACTTTGAGATTAGGAGAAGTGTATTATGTAATGGGTATTTCAAATTGAATGGAACGTCTCAACTCAGTAAGCATGGCTGAGATTTGTAAAAGTTGTTTTTACAAAGAAGTTTCGGGTGAATAGCAGTGCTTATTCAAACAAATATTCGCATCAATTTGAATCACAATCATTATTTGTCGCTTAATCCCTTTTAATGACCTTGTTTTCTTTTTCGTTTGCAAGGGGAGAAGAAGATATGTCACGTTAAAGACATCATAAAGATCAGTGTTGTATGCGTATATATTATATACACAGGCCAGTAACAGCTATGTAGCTTGTAAATTTGTAAGAGGGAAAACGCTGATTGAAATGATAATGAAAAAATAGCAAATAATTGAGGAGTATCATAGGTACCAATTCAACGGATATTTGTATAAAAAAGAGCCCCGGTCAGTAATAAAAGAGCCCCCGTGAGCCTTCTCACGGGGGCTCTTTGTTCTGGCGATCTCTTAGTATTACGTAATGAATTGGCATCCCCAAGTTAGTTGGAAATGACACCTTAAACGTTTTTCTAGATTATTTGGTTCAAGTTCACGTTTATACATTAGACCATGCGGACTGGCTGCCATTTTGGATTTGACCTCTCAGGGTCATCAGAGGTCACATCAAACTGTGAAATAAACTAACTGAAAAGGATTAAGGTGGAGGACTCGGCAGGTGAACCATTCCTAAATAAATTTGAGAACAAATGACAAATAAATGAGATTTAACCTTTTGTAACTATTCAAAACTTGCTATTTTTAGTCAATTTTGACCTTGACCTTGACCTAAATGCAAAACCCTGAGTTCAGGTGATCTCAAAAGTATTACCAAATGAATTGGCATCCCCAAGTTAGTTGGAAATGACACCTTAAACGTTTTTCTGGTGTATTTGGTTCAAAAGTTAAGCGTGTTTGTACATTAGACCATGCGGACAAGCGGCCATTTTGGATTTGACCTCTCAGGGTCATCAGAGGTCAAATCTGACTTCCCTCCACATCTGAAAATAAATCTTATGGTGAAAGCAAACTATGCTGGAAGTTTCATGCTTTTCTCAAAAAGTGCACAATTTTCTTGCTAAGCTGCTGCACTATACCTACCAATTCAAGGTCAAAGGTCACAAAATCCAACCCTGACACAAGGGTCATGAGAAGGGTCAGCCTTTCAGAGTCCCGCATCAATGCATGTCTGGGAAGGATAAAAGATTAAGAAGAGAATAAAAAAAATATTATGCAATAATTACTAAATAAAGACATTAATTACAAGTATTTCCTCCAACAAGCATTGATAGAAATAATATCACAAATATCCCTTCTATGAATCTCTTGTTACTAATGCCATGTATGAACAAGAATACAAGATATTGAATAACTTGTAGGACAGACACAGAGAGAGAGTGAGAGAGAGAGAGAGAAAAAAAAGTTTTTGATGGAGGCTTTATAAAGGAGCTTTCTATAACATAGCAATGGAAAGCTTATGACCTCAGGAATTTGGAATTAAGTCATTTTTAAGTTTAAAAAACCACCCAAAATATTGTGACATACGCGATTTTAGCATGTTCCCAAAACATAAACAAAAGCTTGTAACCACTACATGGAGTCTATGGCTTTTGCTGTATAAGTTTGTCGCCTGTTTTGATTGTTTTTCATGTACATGTATGTTCTTTGAATTAGATAAAGATAAACTAAATAAGAAGGAAGCATAATGTTGCTTATTACATAAAACTGAGGAAAGAAATTATAAAGATGAAAGAAATAAATGAAAATTAACACAATATGTACATGTACTGTACATATTGCGATCGCTATTGCCGTTCATCATTCGTGCTCAAATCACACTGACCAACAAAATCATGTGTATGTAAAAACAAACATCGCTCACTGTTTGTTTCGTATATCGGTCAGTGGAGGAAAATATATGACACGTTTCACTTTCTTTAGATAGATCATGAGCTTTCATTTGACATGCAATGTCTATTTTAATGATGCATCATTATGGGAGCTCTTTCATAGACAGACTCTTTGAAATGTTTAAGTGCCTGCAGCTTGAAACATGATTATGATTTGATCTCATGTCATTTTACAATGTATGACATATGTTAGTACAAAATCCATGACCATACATGTATACATGTACATCATGATATTTATCATATTCCCTTAAAAGAAATATTTTCAATAAATTCAAGTTTTACATGCCCCCAATCATTAGTCACTACCGGTACATGTAATTCACATGCTGTAGCCTACAATGTACTGTACATCAAATGGAAACATGCCACTGTACACCTACATGTAGTGTTACGTTTCAACTTATTTTATTCAGGAGTGTTAATATAACGGTAAGGTACAGGCTTATAGCAATTTCCTGTTTGCATCAAGAGATGTTAATCGTGCTTGAAACTGTGTGGCTCAATCAGTATTATTAGATTATTACATACCAGATACATGTACATGTATGTACTTTTTGTTATCTTTTATGTCTGAGGCACTGTGTGCACTATTCCATTGACTCAATTCACATTTGTATTCAAGCATGACATGAGAGGTGACAGTGTACAGTTTCATGCACAATGATTTATAATAGTGACGCCATGGCAAGATGTTCTCTGGTTACATTTCCATTTCCCACAGTAAAAAGTGTCCATAAACCTTCTATGCCATTTCTATGGGGCTAAATTGTGTTATAAAAATATGTAAACATGAACATCAGAGCTGCCAACCTTGTGCGACCAAAAAAAGGAACCAAGATGGCAAAAAAAAAGGAACCAAGATGGCAAAAAAAAAAAAAAACCAAGATGGCAAAAAAAAGGAATTTCAAGCAAAAAAAAGGAATTCATTAAAAACGCTGTTTTTTCTGTATTAGGACCTATAGTTTATTTACAAGTAGGTAATTTTGGGGTTCTTGTTTTGGTATTATATCGGCGTTTCATTCTTTTTGAGAATATTTTTCTCTTCAAGTATGTTTTAACCTTAGTTTTCTATTTTAAACATATTTTATTATGAAAAAACGTACATGTACTAACGTAATTTGGAGGAAAAACAGAATAATTTCCAGAAAACTGTAATGGTTGGCAGCTCCGTGTATAGGTATGATTGCTTGACTTTAGAAAGGCACTACCTCTCAAGTAATTGTAAAGCTTTATAGACCCATTACTGAATTTGCAGATAAAAAACGAACGATCGATTTGTCAATACAGAAGAGCACAATATTACAACATAAACATGTAACATTATAATTAGCATGACCTTTGGAAAAAATTCATGGCTGAGACCAACATGGTGCTATATTGTTGAATGGACATTCAACGTTCGAAGCAGTCCATTTGATCATGGTCCATGCTCAGACACAGACGAGTACACAGAAAGGGGGGGGGGTTAAAACCCCCCTTCATTTTGTACTTGTATACCATATCCAAGGAAACCTTATAGTGTACAAAGGTTGTGCAGAAAAGGTTTCTTACAGGTACATGTACATGTACATGTAGCTACTTATGTGTATAATTTGAATAATTTCTCATACTTCTTTTCATAAAATGACTGGAAATGACATATTCTTGATATTCTTGATATTTAGTGATGGCTCGCGTATTATAAAGAGTTAAGATTGATCTTAAGTTTGATCGATACACGATGAGCTGTAGACTAACACTCAATATCAACCTTATGATCAATCAAAAGTTTTTTATAATACATAACATGGCCTATTAAAGTTCTGAGAAGGGATGCACTTTATTCCTATCAACAATAAATCATACTGTCATGATCATTTCATGAAAGGAGGTAAGGAAAATCTACCGGTATTCAACTTTTATGGGCAACAATGTACACTAGCTCTACGCAAAGGTCTGGAGGTGATTTGGGAATTAGGTGCAATTTTTCTAGTGTCACTTTTTAACATGAGCTAGAACAAACCTCAAATTTTTCTAAATAATATAATAAAACAATACAGGGTTTTAACATCTACACCTACATGTATATTTGGTAACACTATATAACATACATTTTTAATTACACATGTATATATTTTTGTATACCGGTAAACGGACAATGTGACAAGAAAAAAACTCCTAAACTTCAAGGTCAAAGTGCAAAAATATGAAAATAATAATATGCTATGATTGTGGGTAACAGAAAGACAAGACAATGATATGTTAATTTGTGTGTAGTCACACAGTTATATTAGGGACTTTTAGATTTGCACGTCGACATACATGTAGTGGACTGCTACGTGCGACTTCCTTTTAAGGCACTGTGATGTCTTATTAAGGCACTGGCAGTGCCTTAAAAGGATGTCACACATAGCAGTCCACTATGTCTACGTGCAAATCTAAAAGTCCCTATTCACAGCCGTGGGAGGTCATTTCCTGTCTCAGATTCCTTCCATGTTTCCTCTGTTACTATCAACAAACATTATGTCATCATTTACACACTCGTGACCATGGAAAACCTAATGTACATGTACTTGCAGTATCTAGAAAATTGATAATTCATATATACTGTATACATCCTGAATCAAAACAAACATCTGCTTTAAAATTCTCATGTGACTGCATGGTATCAGTGTATTTTCATAGTACAGCATGAGCAAGTACTAGAAATTAAAATTATATAGCTGACTTTTCAGATTCAGTTATTCCCATGGTTTTAGATTTTGTCCCCAAAATAGATAATGGAAAAGGAGGCGTCAATCCATTAGGCCTAGAATAAAAACTTGTTGTATTGCCCTTTGCGACCGACCCGAAGATCCAAAAATCTATGGTCGGCATTTTAAAAAAAAAAAAAAAAAATTAACCGTTTTTTAAAGATTTTTTTTAATTAATGAATAAAAATATACGTATTTTGTTTGTTTAAATGGGATATAAATGCAGAAAATCAAATTATTCCAAAATTCTCACTCGTGCAAACATCGATAATTATGAGGTGAAAAAGATATCAATGGAATGATGACGCTGAAGCACATGAATTAAAGCATTCAAAACTGAGAAATGTCAGCTAAAAGAGGGCGGGGAAAAGAAGAAAAAAACATTCAAATCTGAAAATATCGGCCCAAAGAGGGCGACAAAAAAAAAAGTTTAAAAAAAAAAACTTTTCTGACTGACCGACCCATGTTTTGGCACCCAAAGGGCAATACAACAAGTTTTTATTTTAGGCCTTATAATTGAATCATTCAATTATCACTATCGTAAGTGCAATGTATGCACATATCTGAAAGCTGTACTTCTACATTCTTCAATTTTTGTGAAGGCAGCAATGAAAAACAAAGAAGAGATAATCCAAACGATATTGTACATTATTAGTATTTCAGACAAGTCTTCACTCTTGCCAACAAACTTAACCAGAGAAAGTTGATGTTATTGTTTTTATGCTTCTACTTGCTCTTGCCCATCACACATCCAAATATCTTATTTTGAGTATGTTTAACAATGATTTCATATGTCTTTCGTAAATGACCCACTCTTGAAATCGCTGTGATTACTATCAGAAAATAAAGTACATACACTGTACATACATGTACACCCAGCGTCTACAATTTTATGTACACTCTTTGATTTAATATTAATATAGAGTATTTGTAATGCGCCAGCTCCACATGACTAATGTGTTTGAGGCGCAGTGCAGGAGAAAAACTACAAGTACACAAAAATGAACCACAACAATGTGAATCTACTAGACTCATACAAATGATTTTGCTGAGCTTTCTCAAGAAATTTTGTTTCTTTACTTGATGCCTGGCATGGCGGCAGCATTAGACCTGGGGGGTGTTTCACAAAGATCCTAAGTTGAACTTAACACTAAGTTGGACGTAAAATTATGGACAGCCATTGGAGCCTTAAATGAAATATATATTCAAAAGCAGAAATTCAAGTATTTAAGACTTTTCATAAATTCCACATCAAGAACATAAAATCTCCCAAGATAATAGAAAATATGAATTATTTGAATCAAAATTTTATGCCTTTAAAATAATGTTTACAAAATATTTTCAATGATGCTAACGGCTTTCCATAATTATTAAGTCCAACTTAGAGATAAGTTCAACTTAGGATCTTTGTGAAACACCCCCCTGATCTGAAGATGGAAAAGAATCATGTACTTACTCAATGTAAAACTTCTTCAGGACTTCCTCGCTGCCCTGGAAACATCTGAAGTAACTCTCTAAGGCTCCTTCATTTAGAGATTGATAAAGCCAAGCACGACCTACAAATGATAACAGACATAAAGTAACGAGGAGCTTGTGCCTCTTCCAATCAAAAATTAAAGACAGAACAGAGAAACAAAGATCTTACGTGTACACTTGCAGCCATACTAAAATTACATTCAAATGTGACTACCCAGCATAAACCCATCATAATACATAGCAATAACTCCGTAATCATTACCTTAAAATTAAATACAGTCATGTTGGCCAAAATTCACAAAGGAGGTTCGTTGACAAAACTAGGTTTTCGTGCGTCATATGTAAAAAACTTGTCAGAACGCCTCATATGACGCACGAAAACCTCCTTTGTGAATTCGGGCCTATAAGTTTGTGTTTTTGTATTCTTTGTAACATTGTCATTTTCCTTATAAATGGTCTGAAAAGATACACTCAATGTTTTATTGATATCAACATTACATAATAACAACAAAAGTACCGGTATTGGTATTCATTGATTTGAAAAAGATACTTAAGGTAGACTCAAATTGTATGATGTTTCAACCTTTTTTTTTCATCACTATCAAAGCAAAATAAAAACGAAGGTTACTTTAAAAATTAATTATGGGCTTACTTCTGCCAAGATCAGTAGCCAAGCGATCCAGTCCAATGATATCAGATATGACAAGTTTATGGGTGAACCGTCTGACAAACACCCAATAACCTGGAGTAATGTGTTTTAATCTGTGATAATGCAAATGATAAGGGCATTCAGTAGGAACATACATGTATGTTTACGTAATGTAGATCATTAACAATATTTACAATGATAATAGCTACATTAATGTGAGGTCAGTAAATGTTGGAGTAAATACTTGTATGGAAAAAGGTGATGGCCTTTTTTTTCTTCTTTTCTTTTTGCGTGTCAGGGAAGTTTGGATGTGTCCCCAACGAGTTAATATATAATATAATATAATATAATACAATATTTGGGGGAATGAAAATACATCCCTTTTTTTTTCATTTATGCTATCGCAAGGCTTGTTCTTGTATAGGCCATTTTGTTCATTCTTTGATCTAATGACACATACTGTAGGCTTCAAATGCCTGTATCTCATAAAACACAGATAATGAGTATGCGTAAATGTAGGGCCCATCTTGCATGCAGCAACTGTCATTCCCACGTTTCATTGTCTTTACAATTAAGAATAAAAATAAAAATAAGTAGGTAGTCAATTTCAAGATGTGTCAATTTGATTCAAGGCTAAAGGGGAACATTTAAACTACATGTATATGTGAACCCCTATGAGACACAACATATGTGCTGAGCAAAATGTTCCATTCAAAAAGTGGTCAATATTTCTTTTAAAATGCAGCACATACCCATGTAGAAAGGCATGGTCCAGATGTTCGACGAGCCTCTGTAGAGGGCGGGCTTCATTGTTGACCTTGACGACTTCACCGTCTGAGCTGAATGAATAGGCTTGAACCTGAGATATCAAAACAAAAATGCAGTGAGGCATATGAGTGAACAGAAGCAACTTACCACAATTCAATTTTAAGGCATGATAATACAAACAGATATTCTATTACCGGTACCTCTCCTCTCTGTTGTTGTCCCTCCGCTTTTCAGAGATCAGCGAGTTTATCGCATTCAAAGTAGTAGGCTGCTGTAAATATGCTATATAATCCTTAGTTGGAGGGTATGGAATGCAGGCGATGGGCATGAATTTTGTAAAGACAGTGTACGGAAGGGATGGATCATATGGCAAGAGTTAGCGCAAGTCAGATGGGAAGGGTCCTGGCTGTTGAGCAATGGTGTATTTGGTGCAGAGTCGACGGCATTATGCAGGAGTCTACTGGCTCTGTCGATAAGGTCTTCCAATAGGTTGACAGTAGTTGAGCAGGCAGCCACAGCGTGTACTATGGTATCCTCCTGAAGATTACAGAGAGGAAACTTTGTGTTGGTTGCTTTCTTAATTTTGGTGAGGCGGGTTCGGGTGAGGTACATGTACTGTAGGTTGATGTGAGGAGCTGTGCTCTAATGGTTAGTGCCTGTCTGATTAGTGTTGATGGTGCATCTTTGGGGTAGAGGTTCCTTGGGTTGATGGTTTTTCCATGGCAGAATGCGAGGGACGTCTTGGTGGCAGCTCCTTCCTGTGTAGCTTCCTCGACTGCAGCAGAGATTGAGTTCTTAAACTCTGCGTTTCCAGGAGATGTAGGGAATGGGATTTGTGATTAGGTCCTCAATGGTTGGAAGCTTGTACCATGCCTTCTATTCGAGGTACTGGTTAAAATTATATACCTCACTTAAGAAATCCAGCCATCTGATTGGTAGAAATTTTAGCCATTCCCGTAAAGTGCCAAAACCGATTAGTCCAAGTGTAAAATCCCTCAAAATTCTAGTTACCGGGAAATAATAGAATCTTGCTGCGATACCCATTGGTTTACGTGTTAAAATGTTCTTTGAGCGAGCGCGGACTCCATACAGTGTTTTTTGTCTGCAATTCCCAACTGATCGAAAATTTCAGTCATTTTTTTGTTGGTGATAAACAGACAGTTTCTCAGATTTTCTGTGATGTTTTAACCAATCTTTACTCGATAAAAGGATAAGGTAAGAATTCTTGGTAGATTTTCGTTTGAATTCGGCAAATAAAAGGGATATCGACTGCTTTAATACTCAAGGACTGGCTGTTTTTATATGCTCTCAGCAATCACCCCGAGGCGAGCCTGGCGTAGCAGTCAATATATGGGCCTCGGTGACTAGACTCCAAGCCCGGCCCCACACTCCGAGAACGAACGGACCCCATGCGTGTTACAAAAATGTCCGACTCGTAACAAAAGAAAAAGGTCGACCCGTATTGACTTTACACACCAGACTTTTGGTTGCTGAAAAGGGGGGGGGTCGCTTGGATTTGGAACATGCATAGTCTAGTCTATGCGTACCCTAAATAACACCGAGTGGGGGGACTCCAAGTATGGCGGTGTGACCAAAGTTCGCGCGTGACCAAAGTTCGCTGTGTCAAAAAATCGGTAAGATTTCGAAAATCTGATATCACCAATGGAAAGAGGGTCATAAAATTACCCAGAAACAAAATTTTCTTTAGAATTGGGTGCGAAATTGTGAAAATATTGACAAAAGATCGGCAAATTTTGCAGTTATTTGCGTCCGTTCCGAAAAATTATCAACTTACCGATAAGGGTCTGGAAATCTTCATTTTGAGATCAGAAATCCTCAAAATTGTAAGTAAAGAGGGGTACTTACTGATTGTACGATATCTTGTCTTGCAAATTATGATATTACTTTATTTTTGATGGATCACATTTTTTGATAAATCAACTGTAAACCACCGTGCGTGAAGTTAGGTCTCATTGTTTTTATGACTTTTTTAGATGCAGCGCGCACGCACGATCGGACATCGAATTTTTAGATCGCGATATCTCCGAAATCCTTCGACGGTAAATTTTTCTAGTTGAACCAATCTGTAGTAAACAACTTTGCCATCCATTTGGTAATAATTGAAATAAATAAAGTTGTGTAGAATGTGAGAAATCATAGATCGAATATCACATTTTGTAATATGTTCTAAAATGTCCGCGAACTTTGGTCACCCCTTCATACCATTTCCCTCAGCAAATACTACTATTGGAGTCAACTCTTGCGCATAGTTTTAACCAGAACCTCTCAAGACAGTGTATATTTGTCTACTATCATATTCATTCATACTCATACGGAGATAGACTAGGCCTACGATGTCATGATGTACATGTACATGTACTAATGTACAAGTTACTACTGCACCGGTTATTACGGCACGGGCATGAAACATGATGATCATCAATGAATGAATAAGCGGCGGGCGCGGGCGGTCCATAGACCTAGACAAGCACTAACATTTGACACATTTGGGCGACTTACCTCCTTCACCGATCTTGCTATACCATCGAGAATTTGATCTTTAAGTTTCACACGTTGAGAAGTCATGTTTACATCTTGGCATTTCTAAATGATATTGTTTTAATCACGATGTAGTTACCCTAATAAACTGTTTTAAAATTCATATCGCGATTTCCATTGCGCCTGTACGTACGTATAGAGCTCAAAGTTACAGAGAAGACTCAATCATCTTTAGTAACGCAACGTACAAGTAGCAAACATTGATTTTGAAAGGTCAAAAGAAAGCACAATCCTGAGAAATCTTTCTGTTAATTTTTTTAAACATAGAGTTTAACATGTTTTTTTTTAATTATTCAGTCTTGTTTTCGGGCAATAATCACACTTTAACAAGATGAAAAAGCTTTTAGAGCCTCTTCGAACTTTGGCTTCGCACATTCAAATCCACGCATACGTACCGTACTACAATAGTATTGCACAGATAATATTCTTTTGAGGGAAGCTGTTTGGCAATTTTGCTGTACGGACCGGCGTCACGTGCACTACCAAACAGCTGTTGTTTACATTTTTCGACGACCGAAAATAACACTTTTTACAGTGGAACCTGTCTATAAAGACCCCCAAGGGAGACAAGAAAAGTTGTCTGTATAGACAGGTGGTCTTTATGTACAGGTTCCTTAGCAGATATTTCAATGAGAAACCATTTTCAAAGGAAACAAAAAATGTGGTCTTTCTATACAGGTGGTCACTAAAAGCTAAAGCAGGTTTGACTGTATTTGGATTTCTATCACTAAAATATTTCAATTTATGCACATACATGATGGCCTCGATCGATCGGGGAGAACAGTGATGAGGCTATATATATCCTGGATAAGTATAAGATCTATTATCATTATTATCAATTATTATGTTATACATAAAGTTTCCAAATGGTACAATAAATCGATTTATTTAATATCTTTAGCGCAGTATACCCGGATGACAGATCAATATTGTTTTCGAGGGGGGGGGGGGGGGGGGGGGGGGGGGGGTAAGCGGACATTTTTTTATTTTTTTTGGAGTCCCAAAAAAAATCGCAACGACTCAGCCAGCCGAAAAGTCGCTCAGTGGGGGGGGGGGGGGGGGGGGGGGGGGGGGGGGTAGTGAGCACAATTTTTTTTTTGGTCCTCGAAAATTTTAAAATTTGCACCCCCCCCCCCCCCCTTGAGCACCAGGGGGGGGGGCCCAACCCCCCAAAAAGGTAAAAATCGCGTGATTTTGCATGATTTTTTTCTCAAGGGGGGGGGGCCGGGCCCCCCGGGCCCCCCCCCCCCTGGATCCGCCACTGATATATATATAGTCAGCCTGATAATGGTGATATAATAAGTTGTATGGCTTTGTTTTCGTGTGATACAAGAATATATTGCTCTCGCTACGACTATATACTCATGTATCACACTCAAAGCCATCCCATATTATATAATTATTGTTATTTTCATTATAATTATTATTTTGTTTGTTTTATTATAATAATTATTATCATCATTATCATTACTTTGAGGCCTACATGTATTGTTATTATTATTATTATTATGATCATTATTCGCTTGCTATACAAAATGGCTAGATGGAATCCATTTTGAATACATTAGATGCTACTATGTCGGTAATCCTCTGATGAGCTAGTGTGTTGACAAGAGAAACTTTTGTTCATCATGCATAAAACTAGTAAATATATGTCAATTTTTTAAAGAGTGAATAATCGTTGCCAGAGCTCCTGGAGCTAGAGAAAAATTGTGATAGTCCTTTATTTGGTACAAATGACCCTCAAATACACACAGTTCTTTACACATTGAGATATCCCCTATATGAACATGACGGACAAATAAAGAGGACAAAATATACAGTTCCTCAGGTAGATAAAGGAACATCCCTTCACTGCTATTATGTAAAAATGTGTAGAACAGGTGTCACATGCATATTCACCCGATCTACACATTTTTACATAATAGCAGTGAATGGATGTTCCTTATTGTCTACCACAGCAATTGTTGAGGGTAGAATGAGGAACTGTAGGCCGCTTTGTCCGTCAAAAGTGGGCCACTTCGGGGATTTTAGAATTTCGCAATTACATTGTGATAACCCCTTCGTAGTACAAAGTTCGATTCCAATAAATACAGGGTCGTGCAGAAGAATGGTGGGAAAGCACAAGATTTCAAGGCGACATTCTATTCTTACGGGGGGGGGGGGTCGAGGGGTCGAAAGCCTTTTCACTTTTCGATTTGCGTGGACGTGGACGTGTGACTACCTTTTAAGGCACTGGCGTCACACGTTGCAGAAATGGCGGAAATCATCCAATGACGATGGAAACGCCATTAATCACAACAACAACAACAACACGCAGTCCACGTTCTCGTCGTGCAAATCGAAAAGTCCCCAATGCCCCCAGTACAGACGACGATATCAAACAACCAATCAGGGGTGTTATCATCACTTCCCTCTGATAATCATATTGGCATAATTATTATTACACGCTGGATCATAATGTTGGACAACAGTTCGGATGTTACTCGCATGACTATATATAGTAAGACTTGTCAATTCAAAGTCTTTTCAAGTCACATCCTCGTATTTCTTCCAACTGACCGAGTTGTGATGGAATGATATTTTGATTGCGGCGGTTTTTCTAATCGGACCAAAATAGTCAGCATCTTCCTCTCGAAAAATTGGTGATGTGTATCCCCGCAATAAAGGGTAAGCTTATTCAATGTTTTGTCATTCACCGCACGTATTCCCTGTTGTGTTTGGCCATTATTTATATCATCGGCTGCCGTCAAGAAGGCTGTTATGCCAGTAACAATAAATAGCTCTGACATCTCCAATGAATATTTGTTTAACCACACCCTCTTTTCTTATGGCGAGACTGAATTTACCCCCCCCCCCCCCCTCCCTGTGCACTCTTGGAAATGTTGATGTTTTCAATTTTTAACTGACCCAAAGTCTATGCAATAAAAACATTTAATTTAACGTCCTATCCGAGGGATGGAATTTGCACGAATATTGATTGGAATAGTGACGTGTTCCCTTCTTTCTAAAAAGAAAAGAAAGGGCAGATAGGAGAGTAACAAAAGCAACGGTATTTGCCCCACCCCCGCCCCTCCATCCCGTCAAATTTCATAGACTATATATTATGGGATATACAACAGCGTTTTAAATTTACTCTTATACTTTCGAGTACGACAGTCTTACTATTATAATCATGCCGACCGTTTTAAAACTAAAATTTATACTACTTCACTACACCCAAATCACTTAACACCCACGCCTTCGGGCACCCTCGCGCACACACTCTTCTAGTGGGTTAATTATTGGAAATAAGAGCAGTGGTTATTCAAGAAGAATTTACCATTAGGGCTGACGGAGATGGCAATGGTTAGACGGTGTTTTTTCAATTGAGAGGACAAACAATTCTAATAGTCCGGACTTGTCCAGTAAAGATAAAATGCATGTCTATAGGATGTTATTTTTACCATTTCATAGCAAATCATTATAAGGCTCTGGTTTCATCTTTCTTTAAATATAATTGTTACGGCTTCAGTATCTTTATAATATAAATACTTTAATTATGTCACTTAAGATTATCGGGTTTTTCTGAAGTGTTTTTGGTTAGTCTTACACTTAGATATTCGAGCTCAAATAAATAATAGAACAAAAAGATTATTTACTTATCACAACTAATTAGTGAAGCATTGTAGGTTTAAGTGATACACCGCCAGTATCGCTTCTCAAACTGAATACTGAATCAATCATATCTTAGAGAAAAGGGGAGGAGGGGGAAGTGTCACGGGATGGGGAGGGCTAAGAGGAAGCAAGTGTCAATACTGATTATACAAAATATTGACAGTTGGACTCGAACAATGGACCTTGTGATCCACGGTCCGGTCTTCAGAAAATCTTCACAAATCTTCACAAATCTGAGGGGATCTATGAATTAATCCAACCATTACAATTTGGTTGTTTGAATGTATGATTTCTAGAAAACACGATTCACTTTCTTTTATTGAGATTTCTTTTGAAACATACCACATTCACTTTCTTCCTCGTGGTATAGCAACATGGAGTAGGTCCATGATAGCAATAAGTTAGATCCGCCTCCAAGAACACAAAATGTCTTTGCTTTATACCCTGGCCTTTGCGTTTACTTTGAATAATTGTGATTTCTGCATGCTACTTAATATTGTCAGAGTCAGACATTTTGATAATAAACGAAGTTGAATTTGAGGAACAAAGCAAAGCAAGAACTTAATTCTAATTTAATTTGATATGATTTGATTTAATTTCAGTTGATTGTGCTATACATTATATACATACATAATCATCATCTTCTTATATCATAAATTGTATAATAACTTAAATGCTAAATGTATGTGCGGATCGTCGTAAGCTTTTTTCAACATTTGATAGAAACGTTCACAAACAAAAAAAAAACAAATATTGACCATTAACAGTGTTCAAAATATCAAGTGATGCAAATTTACCAAGTAAGAAAGAGAGAGAGCGAGAGAGAGCGAGAGAGAGAGAGAGGTATTAGGTATCATTGACCATCTCTTGTGGAAAAAATATTTGTTTTGAAAGAATGCCAACTCAACATACGATACATAAATAGATTTGGATGCAGTTCAGGGTTTCGAAATGCATGCATTCTGTTTTACGAAAGATTGTACTAGATTAACGAACGGTGAATTGTGATGTGGACATAGAAGTCGTGCCCCCCCCCCCCCAGCCCCCCTCCCCCACTCAGTGTTATTTAGGGTACGCATATGCAGGCACGGATCCAGGATTTCTTAGAGGTGGGGGCCCAAATTTTAAATCAATTTGAAATTTAGTGTGCTGAAATATGAAAATCGTGCTGGCCAATATTTCGCTCAGTGGGGAGGGGGGGATAGTGAGCACTAATTTTTTTTTATTTGTTGCTCCCAAAAATTTGAAAATCGCGCCGGCCGAAAATTCGCTCAGTTGGGGGGGGGGGGGGGCAGTGAGCACTAATTTTTTTTGGGGGCCCTCGAAAATTTGAAAAATTACACCCCCCCCCCCTTTGAGCGCCAGGGGGGGGGGGGGGGGCTCATCTAAAAATTTAAAAAAAGGTAAAATTAACGTTAACAAATGTAAAAATACACATTTTCCCCAGGGGAGGGGGCCCCTCGCCCCCGCCACTGCGCATATGCATGTTCCCTCATTTTGAAAACACCCCCTAAGTCCGGTGTGTAAAACGGGCTTTTGTGTACTACGAGCCGGACTTTGGTGCGTGACAAGTACCCCTTGACTTATAGCGTTTTCGCGTGCGCTTGTATTTCCTTATTGATTCGCAAATATGGAGACGTGTAAAATAATAATAATAATAACATTTATAATGCGCATATATCCACCCCAAGAGATGCTCAAGGCGCCTTACAAGATAAATACATTGCACTTAAGAAAGTTCATGAGAAGTTACAGAGAACGAAAATAATTTAACATAATTAAATATAATTAAACACTTTAGAGTGCACACTCCTACATTGCCACGTTTAATTCATAAGTATATTGTCTTGATAAGATATACCCAAGTGATAAATAGATTGTGGGCCTTTCCGACGGAATTTTGTTGTATTTCCTTCCTCAATTTTCCATTCCCCAGGGGGTGGGGTTAAGAGCAAAGACAAAAGACTTCACGTTCTGAATGGATGGAAAATTTCTCGGGAAATAACCACTTGATTCGTCATGCGAGCAAATTATATTTTATTCTTTGATATCTGATTCTAACGTGCACTTATCTTAATGTTATTCAAGTCTTAATATGATCCCCTCCTTCTTGAATGAGAGAGAATTAAAATGCATTTTACCAGTGATGCTCGTGTGAGGGTAAGATCAGGGGAGTGTTTCACAAAGATCCTAAGTTGAACTTATCTCTAAGTTGGACTTAAAAATTATGGAGAGCCACTATTTGTAGCCTTAAAATAAAATATATTCAAAAGTGAAAATTCAAGTATTTTAGACTTTTCATTAATTTCACATCAAGAACATGAAATTTCCCATGATAATTGAAAATATGAATGATTTGAATCAACATTTTATGCCTTTTAAAATAATTTTAGAAAAATATTTCCGAAGGTGCTAACGACATTCCATAATTGTTAAGTCCAACTTAGAGATAAGTTCAACTTAGGATTTTTGTGAAACACCCCCAAGCAGGTCTACCTGATAACAGCAATACAATATTGATGAAAATTAACCAAAATCAATATTATTTCATGCATGTAACTGTTTTTGTCTCATATCATCGAATGGTTTATTCTGTCTATAATATGCAAATACATCGTAAACATCTTGAGCATTCTGTTAATTTGAGCAAATCAATTTTGTCTGAATGTATATTGGACCAAAGTGAAGAAGAAAAAATTGAATAAAATGAAATTATAATCATAATTTCTGAGTTTCTTAAGTTCCTTGAACAAAAATGAAACGTTTAGAAAGGGTATCATCGCTTTAATATTCAGCTGTGTCACAATATATGAACGAGTTTCCAGTCAACACTGTGTAGTCATGCTGTATTGTGTACATACTGTGACTTTCGCTGAAGGGCCAAGCTGACACAAATACAATTATATCCCTTTGATGCAATATGCAAAGCAATTTAATCAATGGACTTCTTTCTAGTTTTAACTTGCCCCTTGATTACCCTATGCATAAGTTATTCGAATACAGAGTTCTCAGGGGCTTCAGCTCCCGATACATTTGAAAATAGCAGTATTCGGGCAATCTCCATCTTGTACTCGGGCAACGGGGCTTTATAATACGAATATACGAGAGGAATGAGATGTTTGCAAGGCACATAGTGTAAGATTCGATATGGGACTGTTGATGCTAATCATCTCATCTTTTGTTTTGTTTTCTATTTCAAATTCTGCAGGTTTGCATCTGAGTCACAGTGATTTCAAGAGTGGAATCAAGCAACACAAGAGCAAAGGAGGAACTGGTCCGTTAGTGTAGTGGACTTGGGACGTAAGACGTGACTTTATAATCAAAGGATTAATGCATCCGTTTAAAAGAACACTTCAAAACCGCAGTGCCGCAGTGAAATGATGAGGAAACGGTTGGTCCGAATCGGTTTAGATATTATACAATAAAAGCTCATTTCAACAAATAAAACGATTCACCTCTTGCTATAAACTTGTTAAAATCATCATTTATTCTGTGGAGAGTTTAAAGACCGTCATCAAAATGGATAGCATTCGATTTTTATGGGTAGGGTCTGTGCTGATGTCAGCAGCGGTCAGTTCCGATGCTGTTCGTCAGAACTTCACAGGAGTCCCATGTAGGTATGATATGGTCAGTAGTGGATTGAAAGTGGATTGCTCTCGTCGTTCTCTCCCTGCAATACCAATTAGTAACCTCACAGAAGAGACTATCATCTTGGATATGAGTAGCAACCGATTGTCCAAACTTGCTAACAACTCATTGTGTGGCCTTCCAAACATAATGTCCTTAAATTTTCAATCTAATAACCTAAGTAACATGATAGAGCGAGGAGCGTTTCGTTTGTTACCTAATCTGAATTCCACAGCTCTTGCCAACAACAATATCACATCTCTACCCGCTGGTCTCTTCTCAAAGAATGGGAAGCTTCAGGCAGTTAATTTGGCGAATAATAGACTGGACTCCTTTTCCGTGAATGTCTTTAATTCTGTCAGCACATTAAGAGTCGTGGATGTGACACACAATTTCATCACGCGTCTGCATTTTGAAGGCTTCAAGAGCAGAAACCTGTCCCGTCTGCTTTTCACTTCAAACAGACTATCAATGCTTTACGAAGATGATTTTTTGCCTCTCAAGGACACACGAATCGATAAACTTGATTTATCTAACAATAATCTCACATCTCTCAAAAGTGGTTTGTTTCAACATCTTAATCTTGTTAGGGGACTTGGTTTAAGTCGCAATTATTTTCGAAATTTCAGTGTCCTTCCTTTCATAGGAATGTCGTCTTTACAGAAGCTCTCGTTGGCGAATAATAAGATTTCAGTTATACAACCCATCCCTTCATCATTAAACCCAACTCATGTATTTCCCCGGTGACATATCTTGATCTACAAGGCAACAATATACGAACGATGCCTTCGCGTGCCTTTTGGGGCCTGAGTAAACTTATACGATTAGATATTCACCAAAGTCGCATAAAAAACAATCCAAAACGATTCATTTGAGGGACTCGACTCTCTAGAAATTCTGGACCTTACTGGAAATCCTATTTCCCATGTAACAAGCGACATGTTTATTCCATTTTGTCCAAGGCTTCGATCTTTGATTTTACCTCAGAGTAAACTTTCTCAACTCAACCAAACGAGGCTTGGCGGTATTACAACTCTAACTAGTCTCAACTTAGCAAGGGGTGTCATTCGGTTTATAGTAATAAGGCGTGTAGGATGGAACATGCCAGCTCTGCAATCACTGGACATTTCATTCAATAGACTATCTCGTATCGATAAGAACTCCTTCTACGGGATGACGAACCTTACTTTTCTCAACATTTCAAACAATCCAATAAAAACAATCGAAAACGCAGCTTTTGCAACCAATGATCAGCTTCGGGAGTTGCGCTTGGATTTTCTCGAGAGTTTTGGTTCTGTGTGGACCCTTTTACGAATCTATATAAACTAACTTCTTTGCAATTGTCTCATACACCTGTAAAACAAATAACCTATAAATTGTTTACGGGGTTAACGAGCCTTCAGAGATTACACATGAATTACTGTGAATTATCAGCTGTCAGCTTCTGGGACCCTCATCTGAATGTTCCAGTCCTGTCAAACCTTTCCAAATTAGAATATATTTTCCTCAAAGGAAACAAACTGACTAACTTGCTTCCAGGAACATTCCATGGACTCCAAAGTCTCAAGAGCTTAAATATGCCAAGTTGCAGTATGGGGAATCTCCACGAAGACATCTTCAGGAATCTTACAACCTTGATAACCTTGGTGATAGACCAGAATCCAATCAAGGAATTGACATCACAACACTTCAGAGACCTCACTTCGTTGATTGGTGTATCAGTCAAAAGCAATGAAATCAAGGAGTTAGCTGTAGATTTATTCAGTGCAAGCCCCAAACTGAGTTATCTCTACATCTCCCACAACCATCTAACAACGATTAAAGAAGGTACGATCCTTCCAAAGAGAACCCTAGACCTCTCCTACAATCCGTTCGGTTGTAACTGTGACATGACATGGTTCATTGATTGGGTAAACAAAGAAACATTGAGTATTAGCCACCCCGATAAGACCAACTGCTCCCAAGCCTCTCTGTCCAAGTTCAAGAATCAGCCCATCCTAAATATTGATCCAAGAGGTGTTTGCGGACCTAGAATAATTGTATATGTTATCTCCACATTCGTTATTGTGACCTGCATTGTGGTGATAATCGTGGCATACAAGCGGCGATGGCTGATCAACTACAAGTGCTTCCACTTTAAACTGCTGTTTGTTGGCCAGCATGGTGACCAAGACGGACGCGAGAGGCTCGATTACGAGTACGACATCAATCTCGCGTTCGACGAGGATGATGAACAGTGGGTCAGGGGAATATTGAAACCAGGTCTCGAAGAACGTCTACCTGATTTCGACAGGATCGTCTGCGGAGATGATGACCTTCCGCTTGGAATGTACTACATTGATGCCATTTCCGAAGTCGTCGAGCAAAGTTATAAAAGCATCTTGATCGTGAGTAATCGAGCCGTAGACAATCACGAGTTCATCAGCAAACTACGTCTCGCGGTTGACCAAATGAATGAGGTCGAGCTAGAAAAGGTAATTTTGATATTCAAGGAAGACATTCCTGATGGGCGTTTACCATATCTAGTCCGGCTGTTCCTTAGTAAGAATAAACCGTATTTCCGGTGGTCAGAAGATGAATATGGACAAAAACTCATGTGGGAGAAACTTGTCAAAGAACTGGCATGGAACAAGAAAATGAATGACGTATTACCTATCTAAAGAAGACAGTCTTCAAATTGAAAGTACCCCCCCCCCCCCCCGAGTATAGTATGTTTTGGAGTTTATTACACCCCAAAAGATTATCGTTCATTATTTTGTAAGCAGTATTGTACGGTACGTGGCATAGCTTTGGACGGCACTGGGGCATATGCCATGTAATAGCATGACCGGGGGGGGGGGTGAGAAAGAGAAAGAGGGACAGGGGCGTGAAAACAAAACGAGTAGGATTTTGCCAACACCACTCCCAAACGATGGACTTATACTTAGCATTTCAATGTTTAACCAGAAGGATGCCGATGCCGCACAGCGAACTTGTGGCTGAACTCATGCCCCGCCACTCTGGGATCCGGTAACTTTGTCTCAGATTCTAAAACAAAATCCTGGATTTAGCTCATGCTGCAGTCATACTTATAAACCTTTAGGTCAGTCAGGAACCCCATGATTTTTACAAGCCGATCGCTTGTCTTATTATCAAGATATTTATGATTGGAATTACAAATTTTGACACTACAGTCTCTTGGGTAAAACGAGTATGGTAAAACTGGTCACTCAAAGATTTTTAATTTTTTTACTTCTTGCACTTCTTGAACATTTTGAAACGCAATTTTTTTAGGGCTTCAATATTACACCATATCACAGACGCTGATAACACATAGGGCCGTGCATCTCAGATTTAACATTGTTAAACGATGCCTTTAATGTGCGTCGTTTGTTACATGCTGTAAGCTCCAGTGGAACTGTTCAAGTCTTTTGTGTTTTTGATATTCGTATCGATATGTACATGATTATTATTGTTGATCTTTACGAATATTCTTTAAATTTGTTTCCAGTTCTATTTGCATCAATTTAGACACAAGGTACTTGCAGGTGTAGATACAAGCAGAAGCTATAGACATGTATTCAGTCACTTATATATTTCTGTGTTAGATCTACCTGAATGGAGTTTTAGGTATCTAGTCCCCGGTGGTGTCACATCAAAGGGGTTACGCATAATCAATGATTAGCTTATCAGCTAAGGTTTCCCTTCTTTACGGTATTATGTTTTGCTCTTTATGTTCCTCGAAATAAATTATAATTCAAATATTGGAAATTGTTGTGCAAAAGCTGAGAAGTAAGCAAAAAAAAAAAATACGAAAAGATCGGTATTAAAAATGAATACCCAATATTAGAGGTGTTAAACATTTTCGGTCATCGGCCTCATGAACCCTTCGAAAGCGGCTAGAAGTCCCACCAGAACGACAGTTTTGGACTGATGGGCCCTGGTCTCATGAACCATTTTTTTTTAAAATCAGAAAGCCACGGAATCGAAATTTTTGTTCCCAATAGGCAGGGATGGTCGTTAAAGAATTTATATAAATACACATATATATTTGAATATATATTTTTTTTTTAATGAGGGCGGGGGCTTGCGGGGGCTTGGGTGGCTTGGAATTCTTGCCTTCATTTTCTATATGTGCCTAGCTTTAATTAATTTGTTATCAGGAATTTTGGTGGAGGGAGGACTTGAATAGTTTTTCGGGGGGGACTTGAGCTCCAATAAAACCCCTTCTAAAATTGCTACTGTCAGTTGATTCTTGGTTTCACGGTCTTTCAGTTTCGTGTTTCGTCGCTCTCCATATTACAGTTCCTTTGGTAATAGCTTGCTTATTAGTCCTGGTATTAGCCCTTCTATTTATCGTTGTATATTCTATGCTAAATAATAACTCATATATTACGACAATATCGAAATACTTTATCATCCGCAGTGTCTACATTGTTTAGATGACCATAGATTGTGGACTGTTGGATACTCTGCTTAAAGGTATTACAAAGTTTTGGGAAATTTTGAAAATTGGGTGGATAGTGATTCTTTACAATCTTGATATATTTGGATGCCCCTGTGCATGTAATATAAGCACTAGAAAATTTAGCCCCTAAAACACTTCTGCTTTCGAGAAAAATTGAATATAAAAATTTACCGGTGCTCCCGGTAAATGTTGATAAATTTCAAATAGCGCTTACGGCCGTACAATGATAGCTGCGACCCTGAAAATCTCAAAATATGTAGTTGTGATATATATTTACCAAACGGGAATAGCTAATCGGTCGATTTTAGTCAAGAAACATTTTTTTATAGCTTGATTAATATCTTGACCTTTAGAGAGAGCTATACAACTTAAAGAGTTTATTATTTACAATTTCATAACTTTAGAATCGATTTTAACCGCGACAAGTATCACTAAATATTGTAGGATCGCATGTGCTTCCAATATGTTCATTTGAACCAAATTCATGACCCCATACCAAAACTTTGTATTATCTTTAAGGTGTATCACCATCATGCAAGGGCAATGCTTTTGAATTGGATGATTGTGCATCTATGTGTTGCCTGTTGAGAGCCAGACAAACACTATTTTTTAAAGTACAGTTAGTAACTAAACTATCAATACTCCTTGTAAATTTGATGTCGACAGGGTAATTAAATCGCTATAATTAGGTGATTGAGTCTGAGAACTGAAACCGCAGTAAAAAGACGAAATCGCTCTCTTAATTGATTTTACCAAAGTTTGAGTTCATAACCGCTTCACGTTTGTGTACCTCGAACTAAGTATATATACAATGAGTGATACACTGTACTTTCAGAGTCTTGAGAGTAGTGGCTTTTGAGGGTTATGATACATTTCTAACAAATCTGCACTGGATCAAAGTTCAAGAATCGAAATGCCTGTTTCTGATTCAAGAAGAAATGTAGAAATTCTAAAGTACTAATTGATTGTGTACGTCCAATAGCGGTTTTACAGGGGGCTTGAGGGCTCAAGTCCCCCCTCCCAGGCCGTCTCGAAAAAAACACAAACTTTATTATAGGCCTAACAGAATTCATTTTCTACAAGGCTCCAGAAAACGGGTTTATCCCTAGGCTTATCCTTCCCTGATATCTCTGCCCCCCCCCCCCCCCCCCCCCTGCCTCTAGCTCTATCCCTTTTTCTTTTCTTTCCCGTTTGTTCACAACGTTCTCACTTGACTTCATATCCCTGTTTTGTTTTTGTTTTTTTGTATTGCCTTCTTTGTCCTCTTCTTCCGTTTTTTTGTTCTTCTTTTTCTTACTTTCCATTCTCGTTAATCATCTTTTCTCATGTACCTTTTCTCTTTTTGGTTTCCTTGCAATTATTCTTTCTTTCAAAACAAGTGGTGCTTAAATAAGCATGATCCTTTTAATCAATATATATACATTTGGTTATGCTGAGGAAAGCACAAAACTTCTCCCATTTTCCCCTCCATTGTTTACGCTATGTTTAGTAAAAATTAATATATCACTTAAAGATAACTCTCGTATAATCATATGCTTGTGTAAATATCTTATGTTTATCCGGATACCCTAATACAAACCTATTAACTGGGACCAACATAATTATCACAAGCTTTGCTTTAGTAGATCCCCCACTGTATTTAGCCATTTGCAATGTATTGATCATACTTATGATTGTATCTTTTGTTATAACTATCACTATGTACATTATGTTTCTATATTGTATGTTTAGTCATAATTATTACCTTGTTCATTATGTTCAATTATTTTATTCTTCGATAAAGTGGAAATAAATTAACTTAACTTAAAACTTAAAACGGATGGCTAGATATCATGCAACTAATTTGTAATTGAAGGAACTATATCATTGTATCATTATATAGGGTCAATAAAAATGCATTAGCGTTCAAACCATTTTAGGGGACCAGAAATTATCGAGCTATAATTTTTTTCTGTCATTTTTTGTGTAACAGATATCTCAAGAATGGCAAATGCATTTTCGTTCAAAATCCAAAAAATGGTAGACCCTATTAAGGACTCTACACACAAAACTTTTCAAGGTCATTTGGGTAATATGAAATCATCTAAACGCCATTTTGTGAATTTCGCCGTATAACCAATTGGCATAACACTTTCATATTTTATATAATGAATCTTCAACTTATTGTCCAGCATATCAACATATGCAATACACGCGTACGTATGGTGGCCCTGAAGGGACATCGCGAATAGACTAAATCGTGAAAAATATGCGATAAAATTCACGATATCGTCAATTTTATCGCATATTTTTCACGAAGAAATTCACGAAATTGACGATATCGTGAACTTTATCGTGAACTTTTCACGATGAAATTGACGATATCGTGAATTTTATCGTGAAAAGTTCACGATATAAAGTTCACGATATCGTCAATTTTATCGTGTACTCTATCGTGTACTCTATCGTGTACTCTCCTGACGGGCGCTTCGTAAACAAAACCAGCCCTAGCTGGGGGAGACAGAGAGAAGGAAAAAAGGGAAAGGGAAAGAGAAGATAAAAGGAAAGAAAGAATAATAAGAAGAAAAGAGGGAAACGGGGGGGGGGCGAAGGGCTCTTGCCTCCTCCTCACTCCCCCCCCCCCCCCCGCCAAAAAATAAATAAGGAGAGAGAGAAGGGAAACGGAAAGGGAAAGAAAATATAAAAGGAAAGAAAGAAGAGGAAGAAGGAAAGAGGGAAACGGGGGAAGGGCGAAAGGCTCTTACCTCCCCCCCCCCCCCCCGCCAAAAAAATAAATAAGAGAGAGAGAGAGAGAGAGAAGGGAAAGGGAAAGAAAGAAGAGGAATAAGAGGGAAACAGGGGAAGGGCGAAGGGCTCTTGCCTCCTCCCCCCCCCCCCCCCCCCGCCAAAATAAATAAGAGAGAGAAGGGAAAGGGAAAGAAAATATAAAAGGAAAGAAAGAAGAGGAATAAGAAGGAAAGAGGGAAACGGGGGAAGGGCGAAGGGCTCTTTCCTCCTCCCTCCCCACCCCCGCCAAAAAAATAAATAAGAGATAGAGAGAGAAGGGAAAGGGAAAGGGAAAGAGAAGATAAAAGGAAAGAAAGAAGAGGAAGAAGAAGAAGAAAAGAGGGAAACGGGGCGAAGGGCTCTTGCATCCCCCCGCCCAAAAAATAAATAAGAGAGAGAGAGAGAGAGAAGGGAAAGGGAAAGAGAATAAAAAAGGAAAGGAAGAAGAATAAGAAGAAAAGAGGGGCTCTTGCCTCCCCCCCCCCCCCTCCCGCGCCAACAAATAAATAGGAGAGAGAGAGAGAGAGATAGAGAGAAGGGAAAGGGAAAGGGAAAGAAAATATAAAAGGAAAGAAAGAAGAAGAAGACGGAAAGAGGGAAACGGGGGAAGGGCGAAAGGCTCTTACCTCCCCCTCCCCCCTCCCGCCATAAAGGGAAAGAGAAGGGAGAGGGAAAGAAAATATAAAAGGAAAGAAAGAAGAGGAAAAAGAATAAGAAAAGAGGGAAACAGGGGCGAAGGGCTCTTGCCTCCTTTCTTTTCTTTCTTTTCCTTTCTTTCCTATTCTCCCTCTTTTTCGTTTTTCTCTTTCTTTCTTCTCTTTCCCTTTCCTTCTCT